TAGGCCTGCTTAGATTGATCCCAGACCTACTCAATCAAATGGAGAAAGAATATTTATTAAACTGCATTTTATTACGATAAAGAAATTTGATTTGTTTATAGTGAGCACTGTCATTGTATTATGGCCATTCAAAAGCATTAGGCTCATGTGCAAGGAATAGTGTAATCAACAAATCCCAAGCTCTGCCTTATTTCCTCAGCCCTCCAATCACTGTTCAGCAACCATCGCTCTCATTTCCCAAGTCACCAACAAATACGTTGTTGTCATCAGTGATCTGCAAATATGGTCAATTTCAGACGGTATTACATGGGAAGGTTCAGTAATGTGATTTTACTACAGGATGCTGGTAATGTTTATGAGCCATTCATACACAATAAGAAATCTCGGTGTAAATTACAGAGATGCGTTCTTAAAAATTAGGTTCCTCAAAGGGTTAGAGAACCACTTTTGGTTCCCTGGAAAACCATGTTTCAAAGAAATTTGTGAGTGTAAAAGATCTTTTGAAGGGTTAATGAACCTTTCCATCTGAAGGTTCCTTTCCAAAATTGTAAGGGATCTTCCTAGAACCTTTACAGTATGTTGATGTTCGTTCATCTTTCAAAAGGTTCTCCTTACACTCACACAACTCATTTACAAAAATAGTACTCTAAAGAACTATCCACTGAAAGGTTCTTTAGGGAACCAAAAATGTTTTTTATGGCATATGACCTTTATTTTTAAGAGTGTGGGTATGGCCACTTGATTTGCACTTTGCCATCACAGCAAAAAATTTAAATAAACAATGGATTTGTTTCCTAGAACCATCTAAGTAGCTGTTAAAGTGAATACCATGTCTCAGTCAACATCATCGTGTAAAATTCTATATATTTTTTGATCATTTTCTTGATGTTTTAATGTTTAGAGTCTTACTCTTGAGGGATCAATCACAATCATCATGCAAGGAAGGGGTCCGTACTGTAATTGACAGTATAAAATGTTCTTCCGCCCAATGCATGCAGTTAAGTTGCCATCATGGATAAAAAAAAAAACAACCTTTGACTGTAAAATTATAGTACATTAATCTCTCTAGAGTATGTATGGATAATGTCTATTTCAGCATTTCCAGTGCATCTTGTTCCAATTTGATCTAGCTGTCTACACATTGAATAAGAAAGGCATGCACAGTTGACCTCTTTCAGTGCTAATCTGATATAGCACTGTATGCAGGCCACTTTCTATTAGACTGCATAGGTGTCAACCTCCAAAGATAGTAACCTTTCTGGTAATTCACTAATACCCATTCACTCTCAGAAAAAAGGCTATGAAAGTGTCACTGGGGCAGTACCCCTCTTGTCACTGGGGTGGTATCCTCAAGGGTACATCTCATTACCTTTAGTCAGGGAACAAAATTGTATGATAATCCATTGAAATTATATTTTCTAAGTTGTGTTGACTCCACACACCCCGTCTCGTCTCCAGGCTTCTTATTTTATTGTTCTGTTTTAAAACATTAGATTATGAAAAGGTACAAATATGAGCTTTCCCACTGGGGAAAAGCTTATTCAAGATACATAATTGCTGCATTATAGCTACATCTCAGATAAAACACATCCACTGCCAACAGTAATAACATCTCACTGTTGTCTTTGGACAACTAGGATTGTTGGAGCATGAATTATTCACCTAAATTTGCATCTTATTAGAGATTAGAGTTTTTCACATACCTGCAATTATGTACTAAAACAGGTTATGATGACTAAAGCTTAATGCACAGTGAATAAAAATTTCGGAAGAGTCTATTTTAGGCTTTATTGAACAATGAATAAGACATTAATAAGCTCCCAATATGTGTTACTCCAAATTAAGTGGTTCTGTTTTCATCTTGGCAGAGAAATTGAAACATTATTTAGACATCATAATAATAACTTTCTCATCTTACCCATATATCACATTTTTACATGCCTTATTGGACCTTTTTGCTATGAAATTTGTTTATTTCCTTGGTTAGCATCTGGCCCTGTTGCGTACAGTCTAATATGTGATAATTGCCACACACTGAGAGTGGGATGTGGTATAATTTGCTGACAGCGATCCAATTATTTATGCTTTCATCCTATCTGGAGCTGGTTTCCTCAGCTAGCTAGTAACACAACTGAATGCTAATGCAAATGTGGTTAATTTTTTATTCGTCTTTTGAATAATTTTGCTTCACTGAAAGGTTAGAATTCTCTCATATTTTCAGTGTAAGATCAAACTGATAAACAGGAAAGACAGACTGGGTAACACTTTATTTGAACCCTGCTAATCATAACATAATCATGGCATAAACATGTCATATGCTTTATTTGTTAAGTCATATAGCATCATGATCATGATCTATATATGGCCTAGTCTATTGTATTAGATCAAACTGCACTCACACAGTAAAAACTATATAAAAAAGAAAAAAGTATTCAGATCTTAGATATTAACAAGGATTATATTATGATCTATTTAAACCCAAACATTATTTGAGATAGTAATAAGCTAAATATACACTAAATACCAATTTATAGGGTAGTTTCTGTTGGGTGGTGTCTGTCCCAAACTCTAAATTCTTTAAAATTTACACTTGTGAAAATAATAATTACATTTTTTAAAATTTATTTCATTTATATTTTTGATTTTAAAGTGTTGAGAGCTTTATTTATTTAGTTTCATTTTTAAATGAAAAACTTAATTCAAAAAGGCTGTCCCATGTTTGTTATATGTTCATATGTCCCTCATTTCCACATAGTGAGTAGTTAGATCCCATTGTTCTAAAGTAAACATGTCCCAAAATCTGAAAACCAGTGTGGAACACTGACAATTGTCACTACCGAAACACAGATTTTCTGCAATTTAATACAGTTTTTGGGTTTTAATGATAAATATTATGACTGCATCTGTTTACCACTGTTCAAAACTGTGTTTGTTAGTCATCTACTGGCTAGCATTTCTGAGTTCTGCTCAAATGTAGTTAAAATTGTCACTACTGAAACATTTCAGAAGGTTTTGTTAGTGTTATGGTTGTTTTGTTACTGAAAAAAAAGGAAGGTTCAATTATTTGTTTTAATAAAATGAAAAGGGTCATTTGAAGCAAAAGGAATTTAATCTAAAGTTCAAGTCTGTTAAAAGTCTGAAATGGATTTTTAACTCTTTGACCTAATTTGGTAAAATGATCCTTATAGCCTTGGAGCAGTTAAACAGCTAAATGAAACTTGTCAAAATAAAAGACTGCAAAAGTGAACAGTGTAGCATCAGGTCCAAAGGCCCATTCACACCAAAGGACTCTTCGATGATCCAGCTTGAGGACTTTGAGCTTCATTGCACATACTGTAGTCAACATTCTCTATTAATGTTAGCAAGTTTATTGTACGTTAACTATTTTTATTGTCAGCTGTCTTTGTTTTTCAGCCAAGTGTGTCCTGAATTTCAGTTTCAGCCAGGAACTTCTATTTTGGTGCACCATTAGTATTCAGTATTCAGCCCTTTAGTCTCTGCTTGGGATAGCAAATGTCTGTTTCTTTTGCTTTCTCTCAATAACGAGAACTTTACAGTGGTGTGTAGGAGATAAAACAGCCTGTGACTGGGACGAGTCCTGAAAGGCCGTATGTTCTTTTGCGCCTCAGGGGACCTCAGATGGCGAGCGATGGTGCAAATGACAATCAAGGATGCCTCTCTCGTCATTTTTATCCCACATCTCTAATCATGCTAATTACTCATGCAGAAATGAAGGGAGCAAATTGGACAGACGGGGCCACTTAATTCGGCCAATCAGATTTGAACAGTCTCATCAAATCCTGGTTCCCGAGACTTTTTCTTTTCTCAGAGGAGGAGGGTGATTGATGAAGAAGGTGTAGTTCATTGCATTAAAGAACTCAGGATTAGAACATATCTTATGTTTGTGTGGACTGTATGGGCGGTCTGTGAAATATATTGTTGATTTTTGGTCATTCTGTGTTAAACATTGCCTTTTGATGTTTGTGAAAAGCATTTCATGTTTTCCTTTCAGACTTGTAACAGACTTTAACACATATTTTAGCTAAAGAGCTCCCTCTATTGGTTCACATTCATAACAACTAGCTGAAACCTGGTTAGGCTACTACTCATATTCACGGTCAGTAAAGTATTTAGGACTTCCAGAAGGCCTAGTGTAACACACTTCCTCTAAAAATTGGTCACACACATTGGAAATAATGATTGGTTGATTTCAGTCTCCTTTCCTTATTATGTTGGTAGCTAATCCAACATGTAAGGCTTTCTTTCCAGCTTCTGAAGGCCTAACTAATGGGAAAGTTAGCTTGGCTGTATCTATGTAGATAGCAATTCTGATTAGACAATTTCCCATTGGGTTTTTCAATGGTTTTACCCTTTCGTTCCCAAACTTTAGCAATAAAATAAGAGTATTACTTTAATTCATATATATCAGACATGATTCTGATTGAACTAAAATTTACAGACATGGCCTAGTAGGCCCTGAAGGTTCTCCACAGCCACTCTATCTGCTGTTTTTTTAAGTCCCAGCAGGCCTTGAGGGTTGTCCACAGCCCTTCTATTCTGCCATTTTGTATACATTATACTTTTAACACTCTACACTATGTAAACTGGCTTAAATCTTTATCAGTGTCTTGCTCTTTTATATTGTTTATACTCCTCTGTTCTGCACTTTTATGTTGTGTAGAATTAATTTAATAGAATAGAATTGAATGTCACTCCTCACTTCTCTCTAACACCAACATATTGTGTCCTCATAACTTGTATACAAGAAATGTGCAGGTAGAGAGATAATACACTCATAATCTTCACTAATCTTTTTATAAGCTCTGTTTATGCTCACAAGATAAAGCTGATGTTTATTCACTTTCTCAAGATCTCTTCTTGGAGCTAGTGGTCAAAGCTGTGTCATGATTGTAATAAAGCATAATTTGGAACAAGACAAGGTAAGGCGAGGTAATCTGAGGTCTGACAGGCATTTGATTTTTTTTATCTTGCCCCATCAGAAATCCTGAATGGTGGGGTGTACGTGGATCAGAATAAGTTCCTGTGCCATGCAGACACCATCCACTGGCAGGACATTGTGAAGAACCCTCGAGCTGAACTACTGGTGGTGCCATCCAACAACAGCGGCAGTTCATGTAAGTACCTAATAGAATAATAATGAAAATGTGCATCATTGATTCAACCACATTTAAATGTCTTGGTGGACTGAATCATTTTCTAAAGAATCGTAATTGGTATTTTTTGCTATTGGGCTCCCCTACAGGTGAGGAGTGTAAGTCACTTTTACACCCCTGTCGTAAATACAAATTGCGGTTTGAACCCCCCTCATGGAAAGCTACACATGCATTTGTTGACAAGCTGAAGGATACAGAACCGATGTTCTAACAATTTATCCGACCCACGAGTGGTCCTACTGACCATGTGCATATCATTAGTGTGTCAGTACAAGTCAGTGTTTTAACCCCTGAAAATCTCAGGCTTATGACATACTAAGCCTTATTATTTATTAACTATGTGGACTACAATGCAAACTAGCTGAGCTATTCTTATGGGACCTGGCTATTTAAGGGGTTAAATGTTTTACTGTGTTTTTGATAATTCAGTATAGACTCAGCTTAATATGACTAATTATCCCTGATAAGCTGATTTAGACCATCAAAAATATCCTTATTATTCTTTTAATGCTGGTAGAATTTTCTCATAAGGACATTGACCAGCTTCTTGTTTGAATTTTCCCAGCCCACCTTAAATGGTGCAGCAGTTACATTCTAATACCTGACGCATTATAATAATAATAATGACTGCTGAATTATTTAAGGTGGAATGGGAAAATTCAAACAAGAATGTATAAGAAGCTAACTTCAGCTTCGTAGTTTTAATTCTGGTAGTATTTTTTTGATAAGATGATTTAAGTGATTAAAATATTCTACGTAGAGTTTCTGTGCATTGAGTGACCTATAAATATGCAGTACAGTAGAACATTTCAACAAAGTAGAACAACACCAGCAACAACATCAGAAGAAAAAGAACTAAGGCAACTTACAATGTAGAGTAATATTACAGGATTTTACACATTTTTGACTTATAGTTTTATTTATTGAAACATCAGAGATAAACACTAATTAAAGAAAGGAAAAACAAAAAACAACTGACAAAATATTTCAAGTAGGTTGAAATACTGCTTGTATTTTCAACCCATATAGGCTACACTGTTTGCTAAGCATTTGAATGTGAAGCAAGCGTGTAATTGAATAAAAGATTGTTGGCAACATAATATAGGCTATATTGCACATAATATACAGTGGACAGTATAATTTATTACAAGCCAGACTGACCAAACTTTTGACGTGAGATGAATTTATTTCTTCGCATGCTAGTCTGAAATGGGACTGAGGTTACGTGACTTTTGGCATCTGGAAAACTCCACACACAGATAGGTTTACAGCCTACATTGCTACATCTTTCATAAATAACTCTCTCAAGGATGGACACTCTGCTGTTGGATTTTCGTTGTTGTCCCGTCAGCCATGAGACAGATCACTACAGCTAGCATGACCCGTAGTTGTTGGTGTGTGACACGGTTCTGGTGAGAGGTTTCATGCCACTCCTCCAAAGTTACATAGTGCTATAGCAGCCTTCCTGAGCCCAGAGTGGCAATGACAGAGATGCCATTCTCCCTTATATAAGTCAGTGTACTGTCATGATGATTTTGAAGCTTTTTTTAAAGCTGTTATTTTAGGTAAAATTGTTACATAATGTTGCTTTAAAGAATCAGAATAAAATCATGTTTAGGCCAGAAATTTACACCCACATAACAGCTCTCACAAACTAGACCACTGGGTGCAGCTGATTTGTAATCATCTATAATACATCCTATAGTATTCTGGTCAGTGATAACAGGAAGCAGATTAGCTCGCTGCTTGAAGCTGAGCTGTTATATGACCGCACATAATGACGATTTACTGTCCACACTAAACAGTGCCCTCTCAAGGTGACTGTGCACTGGACCCTTTTAGTTTCACCATGTGGTTCAATAAACCACATTATTAGCTTCTGAAGAGCCCGTTACATTCCATATGTTTGTTTGTTTCCTAAGAGACAAAGGTTTCATCAGTGGCCATTAAAGATTTAGCAGCAGTCTTTCAGTGTGTGGTTCTTCAGTTCATGTACACACTTAAAAACGCGTTTTCCATCATGAAATCGTCCTTCAAACTGATAGAAAATGTGTTGTAGGTGTTCTGCTTCACTGTTTAATAGGAATCACTAACCAGAACACTAAGGCAGTGCAGTGAGCAGCAGTACACTGTAAAAGAATGGAACTATGGAGTGAAATTTACATTTTAAAGCACATTTTAAATTTCAAGGCGCTGAGATTTTTGAGTTTCCTTAAAAGCACATCGTGTAGTCATTCTTATGGACCTTTTGGAAGACGCCGTTATCCAGAATGACAATCGTCATACAAACTGTAAGCCAAAGATAAGAGCGTAATGGTGTAATATAGACTATTTGTTTTCCAATTTTATTGCCAGCCTAACATTGGACGAACAAATAAATCAGAATTTGTAAAACAAATGAAAATTAGTAAGGATGACTACAAAATCAGCTGTTGAGAAAAGGTAAAAATCTTTGTGTAAAATGTCGCCTTCGAATTTTGAGTTCTTTTAACTTTTTTTTTTTTTCACTGTACAGTTTAAAAGTTTTCTTCAAGTGTTTGTCCTCTCGCATTCCATCTAAAGTGAGACATGCTTTGGAAGAGAACAAAGGGCTGTAGAAGCTGAAAGGGGGTTTGTACAGAAGATTGGCAAATTGAGGCCCTTAGAAAATATACTCTGCCTGCGTCTTCAGTGGAGGTTAACTCTCAATCACTCTTGCTATGTAATTACAGACGATTAACCACAAAAACTGGCATCTGTGCTCCCTTAAAAACGCAAGGGTCTTATAGCACTTACAACCTGAGGATGGTGTAATTCTTATTGTGTCTTGGTCAATTGTAATTATAATTACAAAGTATTTCAATAGGACAGTCACACATACCATACGTTGTTGTTTTCAGGAGACTTGGCCACTCATATATGCCATTATTTGACGTTTAAATGCTAAAAAAAAATGTTGATATCTTAATGAATTGGCCATTTTTTGGTCAAAAATGTATTTATTTATTTTTTTTGAAATGAAAATAGATGACTTTTTATAAAAAAAGATATCAGGAGATGATTATGTGATCATCTAGTTAGGCTAGAGTCTCTGTGACCTGAAAATGCAAGAATTTAGATGGTGGGTTATCTTACTGCTTGTTATTGATTAAAAATAAATGATTAGCCTAAGACAGTCATGTTTTTTTTTTGTTTGTTTTTTTTTTGGTTGTTTGTTTGTTTGTTTTGTTTTTGATGTTCTGTCATCTCGGGTTCATGCTAAGGTTTAAAAACTCTGATAACCAGCCAGGCAGACCATAGAATATTCTCCTCAGAGCCAAGTACTTTGAAATGAATTTTAATTTCAGATTAAAGCTGAAAATAATTATCGTTAGTTCATTTATTATTATAGGTTTGTTTAAATATGACCACTGGGATAGGCTCCAGCAACAGTATCCGAATCCCACTAAAATCCCACTAAAATCTCCACACTGAAAAAATGTTTTGAATTTACTTGAGTCAAATGCTACATTGATTCCACACACATGAAATATCTTACATCAACACAATTACTGCCATTCATTGTACTTACTTTTGGTGATAATTGGGTTGATGTATTTTCTTCATGTACACATTTGAACCATGTAAATTCAAAGCAACCTTTTTTTTAGTGTAAAAACATATTGCTTTATCCAGCTATAGACTGTGAAATTCAGTCATGGAATAATGGAGACATTCTGGTTTGTTTCATGATTTTTCCAGGTCAAAAGATAGAAGCAGAAGCTAAAGTGTCCTTGGTGTACACAGCCGACCACTTTCTGCTTCACCTTCACTTTTAACTTTTAAACTCTTATACTTCAGTGCTCAAGAGAACATGACAACAGAACAACAGAGAGTATATTGCACTATTGATTCATGAGGAAAAACTCAAAAACACTGCACATTCGCAGTAGGACATGGGGTTGTGTTTAGAGAGTTCTATCACATCACTTCCATTTGCTGCCTGCACTGGAAAAAAGCTACTTTGAATTGACCTGATTCAAATGTGTACATTGGTTCCATATGAATGAAATATGTAATATTAACACAACTACTGACATTCTTTGTACTTACTTTTGGCAAGAATTATGATGATGTATTTTATTTATGTGAAACTTGTGTACACATTTAAATCAAGTAAATTCAATGTGACCCTTTTATCATTGGACAAACAGCTTTGTCCAGCTATAGATCATGATATGCTCTATACGGAGTCATTGGTTTTCACTGGTAACAGTGACTGGTTTTCATAGCTCTAATTCTCATCGTTTCTCTGATAGGCCTATAACAGTAGTCATTGGTTATCACTAGCTAATCTAAATAGTTTAGTCCAATGACTGAAGTGACCACACTCTTAGAAAAAAAAGGTACCTAACTGTCACTAGTGCAGTACCCCTCTTGTCACTGGGGTGGGACCCTCAAGGGTAGATCTCAGTACCTTCAGGGAAAATAATTGTGCCATAATCTACTGAAATGATATTTCAGTTATATCGACTCCACACACCCCGTCTCGTCTCCAGGCTTTTATTTTATTGTTCTGTTTAAAATATTCGGTTATGAAAAGGTACGAATACATACTTTTCACCTGGAAAAACTAATTTAAGGTTCACATTTGGACCTTAAAACCACTGTTGTACTTTTGAGGGAACATTTACATTATTTGTACCTTGATGAATGAAAAATGTACCTGCACAGAACCTTTGTTTCTAATAGTGCAGAGGGGGATGGATTCCTCTTTTGAGTCTTGGGTTCTCTCAGGATTTCTTCCTTTTGCTGTTAGAGAGTTTTTCCTTGCCACTCTCGCCTTTGGCGATGCTCACTGGGGTTTCTATAAAGGTACTTTGTGACAATATCTGATGTAAAAAGGGTTTTATATATATTTATATATATATATATATATATATATATATACATATATATAAATTTTGACTTGATTTAACTTGAGAAGGGGAGGCTAGAGTGTCTTTAGCATACATAGCAGGCCAATAAATGATACTGGGCTATTGATTTATAAGAAAAACTTTAAAGCGCTGTACATTTGCAGTAGGACCTTTTTTCGCTGTGTGCAGTTTGCAGTTAATATGGCATTAAACGGCTTTATAATAACTCAGCTTTACTTGCTTTTTGCTGTTTTTGCTCTTCTGCTTCCATTTTTGAAAAGTTGATTTGTGCTTTTTTGCCTTTTTTTTGAGTTGCTACACTTTGATGGAACAAAAATGTTGTGTCTTAAATCGTATGTGAAGAATCATTTTAATGACCAGAGACAATAACTAACAAGCTGAAAAATTTAAGATTTCATTTTAGGTTCACTTTAAGAACCACCATGATAGATTGTATTAGAACAGAATGGCATAATGGCTGCTGGTTACACATACAGGTGCTCCACTTAAGTCTTACCATATTTCTATTCTATTACATTGTTTTCCTCATTTGTATCATAACTCTTTAGAAAATGAACATTTCAGACATATTTCTATGCAATAAGAAATGTCCATCGCTGCATTGACAATTGCAAGTTAAGACTGTACTATGCACAGCAGAAGTCATGTGTCAACAATGTTCAGAAACACTGCCGACCTTTCTGGGCTCAAGCTCATCTACAATAGACTAACTAATCCATAGTGGAAACGTGTATTGTGGTCTGACGTATCACATTGTTTATGAAAAAAAAATGGTTCTGTAGGCCATAGAAGAAAAGGACCATCCAGATTGTTACCAAGATAAAGTTCAAAAACCAGCATCTGTCATGTTGTGGGGGTTGTTAGTGGGTAACTTGCACATGTGTGCCTGCCTTTTAGATGACATCTTTTTCAAGGACATCCATGCTTGTTTCAACATGACCACACCAAGTCACATTCTGCACATGTTACAAAAGCATAATCAGAGAGTGTGAGCGCTAGACTGGCCTTCCAGTCCAGAACTGTCTTCCATTGAAAACATCTCACAGTATTAATCAAAATACGTGTACAGTTGCCCAGCCGAGAACTTGTATAACTGAAGAACTGCAAAAATTTCTACTTTCATAACTGGAGTTTGTATCTTCAGTCCTCAATCGATTATTAAGTGCTTTTAAACATGCTTCTGTCTCAACCTTTTTGGAATGGGTTGAGGCATCAAATTTGAAATGAGTGTCTATTTAAAAAAAAAAAAGTTGCTTTTGTACCGTTTATAATTTAAAACAGGTAATCACTGCTTTCTGTTTTATCAGCATTTTTTCATACTGTTTCAACTTTTTTTGCAATTGGGTTTGTAGTAGTAGGAAAAGAATTGTTGTTGTTGTTGTTGTTTACATTTTACCTTTATTACCAGTTTGTCATTTTTACAAGTCTTCTGGATACGTGTTCTGCATTCTGCACAAATGAGAAATGACTTTCAGATATAAAGACATCTCACAAGCCTGATTATATCTTTAATAAAAAAGCCATCAAAAAGCCTGTTTGAAGAAAACAACCAACAACCTCCTTCGACTTTGTCCTTGAGGATGATTATCTGCCCTATTCAGTCATATACATATAATTTGTATTAGAGACAAATCTATTTATTAACTTCTTCTATGTTGTGTTTTAGTTGTTGTTTGTAATAACAGTGGAAGAATAACACTGATGATGGTGAATGTGTTCCACAGGCAGGCGATGTCATCGATCCTGTAATGGACGCTGCTGGGGTCACCAAGAGGACCAGTGCCAGACCTGTAAGTGTCAAACCTCGCAATAGCTCAGTAAACAAACACACTGCGAAGAGCAGTTGGTCAGTTAGCTTTATTTAACATCATGAACTCACTTTACTATCTCTTCATTGCAAGATTGTGCTTCCATATGACATCCCATGTGTAGTTCTTTGAACCTTTAGAACCGTTACAAAATGAACCAATTTGATGTTCATTAATGGCACTTTTACATGTAAAATGGGTTCCAAAAATCTGAGACTACTAAGAAAAATGTGTATAATGTGCAAATTTTATTATTAATGTAACAATTTGAGTGAAAAGTAGAATTTTAAAAAATCTTTACATTAACTCAAGAATTTCTTAGTATTGAAGACGTCCCACTTTTGTTTCAATGACAGCAGGCACTGCAAAAGAAACTTTAAAAAATTCCAGATTTTCAGCATGGTCTCAGACTTTTGGAGCCCACTGTACCTTCTTAGGAGCAGACCAGTCAAAGCTGTTGGGTGGTCCTCCAAAAATCATCTGACTTCCAGGTGAACCCTAGTTCAGTTCGCTGCTGGTGGGAATGCACTTTTCCGATGGTTCACACCAAAATGAAGGAATTCAATTTCGAAGCAAGTTCTTCTTCTTCTAGCCACACTTTCATACTGTATACTCTTAAAAAGACGGTTCTTCAAAGTTTTTTTTTTTTTTACAAAAGAAAATAGTTCTATATAGATCCATGAACACTCAAAGAAACCTTTCCAAGATTAAATCATGAAAGGGCTCGTTGGATTGATAGAGAATGTGTTGAACGTGGTTCTATTTAGCACCAAAAAGGGTTCTTCTATTATGACAAGCTCACAATAGAGCCTTTTAGGTGCTATATAGAACGTTTTTGTTCAAAAAGGTTCTGTATAGAACCATCTACTACATGTTCTTCATCAATCTGAAAAACACTTTCATGATGCAAAGAACCCTTTAATCATGCAAATGTTTTTTTTTGAGTGTTCATGGTTCTATATAGAACCATTTTCTTTACTGAAGAACCCTTGCGGAACCATCTTTTTTTTTCGTGTGTACTGTCTGCATAATCTGCCTGTTTACATTTCACTCTTTACAGATACTCTTATTGTTTTTTGCAGGACAAGCTGCTGCTAGTTATGTCAGATAAGCAATACAAACATTTGATTTTATTACATAGACCACATAACATATTCTTCATAGATTGGGACAGACATCAGCGACCTGATTGGTTGTATTCAAACTGATGTCTAATTAAACCTGTCAATCAGAAGAGAGCAGACTGTATAAGTAAAGATCAAGAAGAGTTTCTTTTTATTACTCTTGTGCTACATGTAGACGATAAGCATCTAAATGTTCATGCAACATGAGTAGGATCATTAATTTTATCAAGAATATTTGGTAATGCTTTCTTTTACAGTCCTGTATGTTCTAGTTATAACCAGGTAAATGTGACACCAAAGTACTAGATAACTATTCTGGGTACCATATTGGTAAGTTCCAGAACAGTCCAACAAAAGTTCACTGAAATGCATAACAGGTTCTACATATTTTTTCATAGGTACTATGTAAGACTCTTTGTACTTTGCCATATAACTACCAAGTACCTTTTAACCCTAAATAATTACAGCACAGTGGAGTTTGTACCACATACTTACCCAGTTAATACTTAGAGCCTGTTGGGCACTTCAGCATAATTTAGTTGGTCTTGGATCTTACCATCATGTTACGCAAAACAAGTACAAAATAGTTTGAAGACAGTACCTCGCACGTACCTGTTTAATACCTAGAACCTAAGGAACTGCTAAAGAAAGTGTTACTGAGTACATTTGAAGAATAGATCTGCATTTTATGTTTTAATAGGCTAATGACAATTGAATATTTTGGTCAATTTTTGGTGCGAATGGAGGCAAACATGAAAGTAACTGAGTGCTTGTAGACCCTGATAAATTCTTAACCAATCAGCGAAAAACCAATGTGTAAAATTTGATGCATTGCGAAACCAACTGAACCACCTGAAAAGCACTGAAAGTCACAAAAGAACATAATCTTGGTGAAAATGAACTAGGTTTGAAACAGCCATGGCCTGTAACAAGCAGTCGGTCAGGAACTTTAATTTAACATTGCACGTTCTTACATTATTATGTATCTTTATTATCTTTAGGCAGCATTTTCGGCATTATGTTTCTGAATAGTGTCCCATTTGTAGTTCCAGAGTACATAAAGAAAGATAAAAGTTGATTGAACTTTTAGTACCTACCTTTAAAACACCCAACAGCTTCATTTTGGTAAATAATTGAGGAAACCAGTTTGATGTTCATTAAGCTGTAGCCTCAGGCCATTTTTGAAAAGGCTCATGAAAGCTACAGAACACAATGCAGGATAAAAGAAAGGTTTGTTTAACAGACATAACACGCACAACCCAGTCAGTGTCAGACTAAACAATCAGGCCTAGAATTGTGTTTGCTGGGTCTCTCCTCCCATGTTTTGTTCAGGCTTGTTTTTTTTTTTTTTATATCTGCATAAATAGTCTTTCTAATGAAGTTTAGTTTTAGTTTGCCTTTCATCCTTCAAAAAAGATTGGGTTTTTGATATTGGTAAGCCTTAGATCCTGAGTTTGATTACCAGAGAGATCGAAAAGGGAAAAAAAAGTGCAATCTCTCATTCTCCCACATGCTGGTCAGGGGGACTCTGACCCTTGGCTAGGAGAATAACCCGCTGGGTGGTGCAGCTCACTGTGTGGGCGATAATTACAGAGGGAGGACTGAGTTCAAACTGAGAAAAACAGAGAGAGAGGTTGAGAAGAGGTAGGAGAAAAAGAAGAGAGGGAGGGAGAGAGCTGAAAGAGAGTCAACACTTGCGCCTCTTGGGCCACCGGTGGAGTGCTGTACTTCAGTTTTTACACTGTAATTAGTTGAGACTCCGAATTGCATAAAAACTTTAGATTAGTAGATGGATTCATTCCATTCGGAGAGGCAAACAACAGCCTACTTGAAAATGGAGTAATGGAATATATTGCAATATATGACCTCAGAATTTATTTACCATATAGAAGCACTTTGTAGCTCTACAATTACAGGCTGTAGTCCATCTGTTTCTCAGTCAAGCAGCAATATGAGTAATCAATAATTATTTTGAGTAGAAATATAATCATTAATTGTAGTTTGCAAATAATGATTGACCTTTTTGATCCTTAGAATTCTTTATAACTTGAAGCAAGGATTTACATACAACCCCATTTCCAAAAAAGTTGGGATGCTGTGGAAATGTAAATAAAAATAGAATGCAATGATGTGCAAATCATTTAAACTCTATATTTAATTGAAAATAATAAAAAGAATAAAAAAGTATAAGTTAACAATAATATAATAAAATCAAATAATAAAAAGAACAAAATATACACCCATTTTGGATATAATGGCAGCAACACATAAAAAAAAAATTGGGACGGGGCAACAAAAGACTAATAAAATGGCATAATGCTAAAAAACACCTAGTGGAACATTTCACAACTAATTAGGTTAATTGGCAACAGGTCAGTAACATGATTGGGTATAAAAGAGCATCCGAGAGGCTGAGTCTTTCAGAAGTAAAGATGAGGAGGGGTTCACCGCTCTGTGAAAGACTGCATTGGCACATATTCCAACAGTTTAAGAATAATGTTTCTAAAAGTAAAATGACAAAGAACTTTTGCTTTTCATCATCTGTGATACATAATAACATTAAAAGATTCAGAGAATCTCTGTATGAAAGGGACAAGGCTGAAGACCAATGTTGGCTGGCCATGATCTTTGGGCCCTTAGGTGGCACTGCATTAAAAACAGACATGATTCTGCATTAGAAATCACTGCATAGGCTCAGAAACACTTTTGAAAAACACTGTTAAAACCCTAACTATAAACCATACATGTACAAGACCAAGAAACACTGCCGCCTTCTCTGGGCCTGAGCTCATTTAAGATGGACTGTAGCGAAATGGAAAAGTGTCCTGTGAAATTCTTTTTTGACAGCTGTGAAACTTAGATATTGGAAAAAATCTAGTGTTGTGCAGAAGTTTGGAAAATAAGAGAATATTGGTTTTAATGAGCTATTTAATTTGTTAGTAGGCATTTATTTGCTTAACACAATATGGATGCATGACAACAGCCAAGTATCATATGTAGCTATCATCCAAAACCTAATTTGTTTTACCAGTAATTCATTAAATAAGGTGCACTGTGAGGGCTGCAGAAATCTGGAACCAAGCCTGTGTTCTTCTAACAGCTCAAATTAACCACTTGTTTGAAAACAAGAAATATGTGTTACTTTTTACTGTATTTATAGTTTTAAATGCATTCTAATGTTGAATATTTAGTCATTTTTCCCATAATTTATAATACTGAATTGCTGATGACATTAGTACTGGAAGACTTACCTTCCTTTGCAGTTTCTAATGGAGCTTAAACAGTCCACTGAGATGGTCACTTAAGCCTTCAAAAAATCCCAAAAACTAAAAGATTCATTATTTGGAATTTCTTGCAATTGCTGCGATTTAAGAGGACACCTATTTTTGAAATGCAACCTTAACTAATTAAATATTCATGTAAGCAAGGTTTTGTTATAATACTAATACTAGTAGTAGTAGTAGTAGTAGTAGTAGTAGTGCCATCGAGGGTTTCTGACTCTGACCATATGGATAGAGTTCTTCCCGAATATCCTGTCTTCTGTTTGGGTCTTCAGGCTTCTGAATAGCTGGTTCATTTTTCCGCTGATTGTATCTGATTGTATCCGTCCCTTTAGATGCTGGTCATCCTCCTCCTCTTCAACACTTCCAAGCATAATGGTCTTTTCCACTGAGTCGGTTCTTTTCAGAATGTGCAAAATAACAGCTTCAGTTTGGACTTTAAGAGAGCACTGAGGCTTGATTTGTTTAAGGATCCATTTGTTTTCTTTGCTGTCCAAGTAACTCTTTATGTGCTCAGGAGCTGCAAATTAGACACTATTCAGAAAAAAATGTTACATGATGCATTATAATGTAACAACATGATAATGTTAAATTAAAGTACTGACCAACTACTTGTTACAGGCCATGGCTGTTTTCACACCTAGTTCATTTCCATCCAGAATTTGGGTTTTTGTGACTTTGAAAGTTTTTCACTTGGTTCAGTTGGTTTCACACTAGAAGTGCACCAAATCTTACATGTGTGTGTGTGTGTGTGTTTTGATTGATCAAGAATTTAACAGGGATACAAGTACTCAGTTACTTTCATGTTTGCCGCCATTATCATGTTATTATTAAGAGCCATGGAGGATTTCCATCTCGTGGCGACCACATGGATACTGTTTCTCCAGAATATCCTGTCTTCTGATTGGGTCTTAAGGCTTCTGAATGGCTTTTTCATGATTTCTCTGATTGTATCCATCCATTTTGTAGCTGGTCATCCTCTTCCTCTTTTACCTTCAACACTTCCAAGCATAATGGTCATTTCCAATGAATTGGTTCTTCTCTGAATATGTTGAAAGCAAGATATCTTCAGTTTGGTTATGTGGGCTTCCAGTGAGAGGTGGCGCTTGATCTGTTTGAGGATAATTTTTTTTTGTTTTCTTTGCCTTCCAAGGTTCTCTTAAAAGTCTTCGCCAACAAGAAGTTCAAACGCATCAAAATTTTTCCGGTCTCATTTCTTGGACATGATTCTTTGTATGTAGAGACAAATTGTTGTCTTTGAAGATCTTTTCAAGCTCCTACCGAGTGCCAATCTGTGTCGTATTTCTTGAAGGTTTTCCTATGCTCGTTTATAAATGGGGGAAGAACACAGTTTGTCTGACCTAGGTACAAATAAAACAGTGGACATATTGCGACTGTGGGGGTCACAGCAGTGGAGATGATGTGTGCACTAACTGTGAGGCTGTGTTTGTGTTTCAGTGACGAAGACAGTGTGTGCAGAGCAGTGTGACGGCCGCTGCTTCGGCCCCTACGTCAGTGACTGCTGCCACCGAGAGTGCGCTGGAGGCTGCTCTGGACCCAAAGACACTGACTGCTTTGTAGGTCATCTTTCTCAAACAGTTCTACAGCATTCGTATCCACAGATATCCTGTAGTGTGCTATAATTTTCTGAGGTTGTACCTATGCAGTCTTATAGTTTACCTTCCAATACTAGATCTGCTTTTATTATTTAAAAGCACTCAAGTTCTACATTTTCTACTATTGCTAAATGTGATTTCTAGAACTATGAAATTACTAATTCTGGTGCGATTGAATATTTATTGGCCATTATTGATATACAGGACCTTTGAAGCTTCTTACGGACATTTGCATGTATTTTACCTTGTAGCAGTTTTACAGTGACTTCCAGTTCAATGTCCTGGCATAGAGCTTCCACTGTTTTCCATTCCTAACAACTACCTGAAACCAGCTTTGACAGCTGCTCATATTCACAGTCAGTGAGGTATCTAGGACATCATGATGTCTTCCCTCACAAAATTAGCCCCCAATCATTGTAAATCAAAGCATGATTGGTTAATTTCACTGTTACCTCCTAAATATATTGGTAGATAAGGTTGAAGACCTTCTGTCCAGCTCCTGAAGGCCTAACCATTAGGAGAGCTTGCTTTGTTTTGTATTTAGCCTATGATTTTTTTCATATTTGTCCTTTGATCTTCTATATAATTATATTCTAGTTCATTTTAGTTTAGTTTAATTTTATTTTTTATTTATTCTTATTACAGTACAGTCTTACGGTGGCCTTTTCTTTTATTCTCTAATTTTCTCAATGAAGTTGACATCAGTTTATTGTTTTTAACTGCTCTTTGTATATATAAACACAGTTTTCTACGGCTGTGCTGTCATCAGTAGTTAGCATAGTTCACACATATATGTCTGAATGCAGTCTAGTTCTAGAACTTTTAATGGAAAATGCCAGTGAAGTGACTAAATAAAGGACCATGAGAGCTGGTTAGTGTATTTGTAACCATATTTCCTTTGTAAAAAGCTCAATTAACTGCTTAGAAAATATATGATTTTAATATTAGCAACTTCACAGTCGAGGGAAGGCAAATAGGATAAAATTGATTTTATCCGTATTATGAAGGTGTAGTTTTTTTAAATGGATCCATTTGTTTCCCAGAACTGTTGCAGCGTTCTGGAAATATTGTGGTTATTATTTATAGCTTCAGGAGTTTCAATTACTTCTGGTTATTACTGTTCACAGATGTTGATCGTATACCTGCCAGGACTTTTAATTAGAACAGCATTTCACCCTTTTGCATGGTGTCTTGGATCAATTGTTCCAATTTTATTCAGTTTCTGCCTGAGCATGGAGTTAAATTGAACAATAGGTCGCAGTTCGCTGCAAAACAAACTCTTAATTGTCAGCCGCAACTATGATTAATGAAGTACAAGAGAGACTGTTTTAGATTAAATATGATTTGTTCATCCTGAACTCTTTCCAAGCCGAGTGGCGCCTCCATTATCCTCTTTGTTGTTTGTTTTTGTCTGATGTAGGCTTGTACCAACTTCAACGACAGTGGGGCTTGTGTGACGCAGTGTCCTCAACCTTTCGTCTACAACCCAACGACCTTCCAGCTGGAGCACAATCCCAAAGCCAAATACACCTACGGAGCATTCTGCGTCAAGAAATGCCCACGTAGGTTTGGCTAAAAAGACAGATTTTTATTTAAACTACAAGTTGTATTAAGGAGGATAAGGCTGTAGAATCTGCTTCGAGTCCTGCTAACAGTTCAAAACTGTAGTCCATCAGTTTGTGTTGGTCATTCTTGCCCAGGGGTGAGGAACTCTGGTCTCAGGGAGATGGACACTTGCATGGTTTGGTGATTTTCCCACTCAAGCACACCTCATTTAACCCATCACTAGGGTTTAATTACTAGGTTTTGTTGGTGCACTAGAGCAGTGAAATCACCCAACTGTGCTGGACTCTGGCCCCCAGTTTCCGACCTCTGCTCTAGCCCTTCATCAGTGGTGAGTTTATGACCACAGAGCTGTTCATAGGATATTTTTCAATGGTGGACCACTCTCAACCTAGCAGTGATACTGACATGCCTAAAAACCTTTTAAAATAAAGGTTCCTAAATGGTTCTTGGCTTAAAGATTTTTGGTTCTAGGAAACAAAAAAAACTTTTAACTGGTGTAGAGACACTATATTACATGAGCCATCTATTGAAAGGTTCTTCAGGAAACCCAAAATCGTTCCTCTTTGGCATCGCTCCTGAGAAACACTTTTTGACAAATATGTCAGTGCTGCACTAAGAATGGTCCACCACCCAAATAATATCTGTTGAATAGCGATCCTGTGGTCAGAAACTGACCAATGATGAACGGAGACAGAGTTGCTGACAAATTATGGATCAACAGATGGGCTGTAATTGTACACCTTTGCGGTGGACCTGTAACGAATGTAGAGCTCGTGAAGTGCTCAGTGAGTGGATGTACAATACAGGACTTTCTAAAGTGGACGATGAGTGTGTTGATTGGTCCATTTCTCTTTTTAATATGGTCTTTCACCCACAGATAACTTTGTGGTGGACCACAGCTCCTGTGTGCGAGCATGCCCAAGCAACAAGATGGAGGTGGAGGAGAACCGTATTAAAATGTGCATCCCGTGCACTGATATCTGCCCAAAAGGTGAAGATCCACTATTCATAGTCATTTACTACCAACAGCTTTCTGCCCAAAAGGTTAAGATCATTTAAAATCATTTGTAATTTTTCTCCACGTCAGGTTTTCTGGACATGGATTAAGCCCCTCCAAAGTTAGGTCTTAGATTAGATTAGTTGATCTTTATTAGTCCCAAAACAGGGAAATTTCACCTCTGCATTTAACCCATCTGTGCAGTGAAACACCACATACACACTAGTGAACACAAACACACTAGGGGGCAGTGAGCACACTTGTCCGGAGCGGTGGGCAGCCCTATCCACAGCACCCGGGGAGCAGTTGTGGGTTAAGTGCCTTGCTCAAGGACACTTCAGTCATGTACTGTCAGACTGTTAGAAGTTGGTTGAACATTTTCTGAAGTAACCCAAACACACTCAATGACGTTGAGGTCTGAACTCTGGGTTGTCCAGTCCATTGCTCTAAGACTAGCAGCTTCTTTGCTTGATTTGCAAATCTACTACTTTTCTTAGCAGTGGTTTCTTGACAGCTACACATCCTTTCAGACCCATAGCGCTGAGTTGTCTTCTCACAGTGGAAGAACGGACAGAAACACCTGTGGATGTTTTTCAGATCTGAATATCTGATTGAGCTCTCAATGATGAAAGCTACTATGAAGTACCTGTTTATCTGATGGTGACCGTTGTGGTGATTTATATCTAATCTCCCAGGAAATATCTCCTGAGAATGAATAACTTCCTGTTTTGACTGGAAATCAATCAAATGAATGGTGGTCTCAGACTTTTGCGCAGTACTGTATCTCTGCCCACTGCCACATTTCACAGTTAGAAAAGTAACTACTGTGTTTTTCAAAAGAATTTGATCATACTTTGTAAGATACTTTTAAAAAAAAGTCTGAATAACTGAATACCCTTCTCTCCATCTCAGTACTTACTTTATGAAGCTTAGTTACATCGGCCTCTGTAAAAGAGTGAAGTGAGACAGTCAAAGAACTGAAAGGCAGTGATGTTGGATTAATATTTCAGAGAGTAAACTGGGTCATATCACTGCCAAATATCACTTACATTTGCTTCTTCTTCAAGCTTTTCATCTTCATCTTTTCCACAGCACATGGAGGTTATAGAGTTTAAATCCAAATGAATAATGGCAATTCGCAATATAATCACATTTTGAAATGGCTTCACTCCATCCCTTTCTTCTTCAAAGATATTTTACAAGTTTTAGGTTAACTGGCTGAACTAGCAAACCAAACTCAGTAAACAGCAAAGTCATGCCTTAGCACATTGCTTATTTTTTCAGGCTTTTTATCTTACATATAGAGGTTTAAGTCAAAATTAATAATTGCAATTCATATTGATGCACATTTTGAAATAGATACAGTTGAAGTCATAACTTTACATATACCTTAGCAACATTCAGTTAACCTCTTTAACTCCTTGGGACCACACTTTGTCATATTCTTTACTTCATAACTTTCATATTTTATAAGCTCCATTCAAAAGGTGGGTGTCGTATCAGAGCTGTAGCTGTCTTCTTTCCTGTCAAATAGATGGGTAATGTAATTTTAAGCCCTTATAATAAAAGAAGCTGAATGTTGACCCATTTTCCCACAAATCTGAACTATAAACTGGATGCCAGATGATGTCTATTCAGTGATACACTCTGTAAAAATTACTTTTATAAAAAAATACAAGAGCATCTAAGATTTTTGGCTTTCAGCAGTAAATTGTAAGCATATAGCATTATGGTTATGATCATAAAACACATTTTCTGCCCATTTGAGGGGAACTTTTACCTACAAAAAACAGTTATTTCATGCAGTTACTGAATAATTTGCCTTACAATTTGGGCATGTAAATTCAGATGGAAAAACCGAAATATACCTACGAGCATAATTCCTGTCCATACATTTTCTATGGGATTGAGGTCAGGACTTTGTAATGGCCACTCCATTACCTTCAGTTTGTTGTCCTTAAGTCATTTTGCCGCAACTTTGGAAACATGCTTGCATCGTTGTCCATTTGGTGCCCAAGCTTTAACTTCCTGGCTGATGTCTTGAGATAGCACTTCAATATCTCCACATAGTTCTCCTTCCTCATAATGCCATCTATTTCGTGAGGTGTACCACTCCCTCCTGCAGCAAAGCACCTCCACAACATAATGCTGCCACCCCCACACTTCACTCATTCACTGTTTCACACTTCTTTGGCTTGCCTCCCCCTTTTTCCTCCATACCTAATGATGGTCTTTATGGCTAAACAGTTCTAGTTTTGTTTCATCAGACCAGACATTTCTCCAAAACGTAACATCTTTGTCCCCATGTGCAGTTGCAGGCTATACCCTGGCTTTTTATGGCAGTTTTGGTCATGTCGATATAGGACATGTTTTACTGTTGATAAAGATCCTTTTGTACCTGTTTTCTCCTGCATCTTCACAAGGTTGTTTGCTGTTGTTCTAGGATTGATTTGTATTTTTTGCATCAAAGTACATTCATCTCTAGGAGACAGAATGTGTCTTCTTCCTGAATGGTGTGATGGCTGCATGGTCCCATGGTGTTTAAACTTGCATATTATCATTTGAACAGATAAACATGGCACTTTCAGGCATTTGGAAATTGCTTCCAAGGATGTACCAGGCTTGTGGAGGTCTGCAATTCTTTTTCTGATGACTTGGCTTATTTCTTTTGATTTTTCCATGATGTCAAGCAAAGAGGGCCTTAAAATACTGCCACAGATACATTTCCAATTAACTCAAATGATGTCAATCAGCCTTTCAGAAGCTTCTAAAGCCATGATATTGTTTTCTGGAATTTACCAAGCTATTTAAAGGCACAGTTAACTTGGTGTATCTAAACTTCTGACCCACTGGAATTTTTAGAGTGAATTATAAGTGAAATAATCTGTTTGTAAACATTTGTTATAATTGCTTGTAGATATCCTAAAGTAGAAATCCTAACCAACTTTCTAAAACTATAGTTTGTTGACAGGGAATCTGGAGAGGGGATAAATAGAAATTTGAATGACTTCAACCTAAGTATATGTAAACTTATGACCTCAACTGTACACTCCTTCCCTTTGTATCATCAAATACTTTTCTGAATTGTTTAGGTTTAGCTAAACTAACAACACACAATTAAAAAAGAAACCATCACTCCATCTGTTGTAAACCTACTCAATTCTGACAGTGGTCCCACAATAGACCCTAGAGCAGGGGTATCCATTCCTGGTCCTGGAGATCTACCACCCTGAAGAGTTCAGATCCAACACACATTGTCAGATGCCCCTGAAGGCCTTCATTACTTGGGTGTGAAAGATTCAGGTTGGAGCTAAACTCTGCAGATCTATAGGGCCAGGATTGGGCACCCCTGCCCTAGAGTGAGATTTTCTGTTTTAAAAGCCCCTTCTAAGGTGGGAGGACATGCTACAAGTCCTTTGGGGCAGGTACTTGAGGGCAGGTTGTTTTGAAAATGTCTTTTTCCCACTAGCTGGCCAATACAGAATCCTGGCTAATGAACTCTACATCAGTGGATTTCTTTATCACTGTCTGGACATTCCCAATGGTTCTATGACATATTTGGGTAAAGCATGCTGGGTATTGCAGTGACAAAACACTGATGGATGTAAACACCCAAAGAAAACAAAGTTGTGAATTCTGTCAAACCAATGAGGCTGAGGAATGCAATGTTTCACTACAGAAATTCAAGTTTTAGGTGGGAATTCTCCTTTAATGTTGATCAAAGGTCTAGTAATGTTCTTGTTGTTTGTCTGTGTTATGTCTGGTTCGCAGTGTGCGATGGCATCGGGACAGGGAGTTTACAGATGGCCCAGACGGTGGACTCCAGCAACATTGACAAGTTTGTCAACTGCACCAAGATCAATGGCAACCTGATTTTTCTCATCACGGGGATTAAAGGGTGAGCACTTGCCTTTCACCTTACAAGCCATTTTAGTCTTATTTAGTCTTTATTCTAAAAAAAAAATTAAGTTTTTGAATTTTGCGATTGTTTTAAGTGTATTATAAGACTATTAACCTTATTTCTAGACATGTTCTATTCATTTTAAATCATTAAATCTAGTAAAATTGTCATTCTATTGGCAAATAATTGTGCTTATTGAAAGAAATAATGCTTGAAATGAAAATGTTTTGCAAGTGGAACAAGACAACTTCTTTAGATAAAATTACTTAATTTTTCTTATTCATAGCGCCATCTATTTTGTGAAGTGCAGTAGTCCCTCCTGCAGCAAAGCACCCCTGCAGCATGATGCTGCCTCCCCCATGCTTCAGAGTTGGGATGGTGTTCTTTGGCTTGCAAGCATTTCTTCCATACATAATGATGGTTGTTATGGCCAAAAAGTTCCAGTCTTGTTTCATTAGACCAGAAAAAGTTACATCTTTGTCCCCATGTGCAGCTGTAAGCTATATCCTGGCTTTTTATGGCAGTTTTGGACAATGAGAAATATTGAGAAATGAGAAATATTAGACATTTTAACAAGATTTAGATTCAGCCAAAAGTCAGAAGTCACATCGATAATTCATCATGTAACTAGCAACATGCAGAAAGTCAGAGATCACTTTTCAGCTTTCATTTATTTAATTTCCAGTCAAAATGGCAACAAAGCATTATGCATTAAGTTCTAACTACATGGACTTCAATGCCAACTAACTGAGCTATTCTTTCGTTCTAGAAGTGTGTAATAAAACTTTGGGCCTGCTGGTGGGGCCTGGAATTTTAAGGGGTTAAACATATATTTAACAGGAAATTACATAAAAGCCTCCACAACTAAACTGAACATCAATTTTCAGTATTTAGTATTTCCACTCCTTACCTTTATTACAGCGTCCAATATTTTCAGGACACTCACTTTCAGTTTCTCAAAGAAATCTGCAGGGATATTTTTCCACACCTCCAAAGTTCAGTCTTGAAAGTTGGTTGCACTTTTTGTTTCTCATGATCCAAGTATTTCTTTTTTTAATTTTCAAAATTTCTATTTTTTTCTCTGTTCTCTTTACATATCCTACACATCATTTCAGACCCATAGCTTCCAGGTGGTTGTTAGCAGTCCCATTTTCTCTTTTAATTATTTCTTGAACACCAGTTTTGGAAATGTTTTGTTTTTTCCACCTTCTTTCTCCCTTCTTATGCAAGTGGAGAATAACGTTTTGACTGGAAATGACATGAATAAAGAGTGATCTCTGATTTTGTCTCAGGACAACCAGTACCAGTACAGCAGAATGACAAGAGCTCTAGACTTATAAGAGTTCATTCTCGTCTATCCTCCATTTCAGATCATACAGCCTCAACAAATGCCTCTGCATGCCCTTGATTTCCCAGTACTATGTTACATTGCCACCATACAAAAACAAAACAACACTGATATCATATTGACCTCTGCATTTGCAGTTGTAGTTCAAACACAACCTCTCGCTACGCTTCACAAAAGCCCCCCAGGGAGTCCATTTCTTTCACTCACTGTCATCTCCATCTCAAACTACACACCTTTACAAATTGCAAATTGATTTTACACCTTGATTTCTCGGCAGTGTGTGGGCTTTTTAGTTGGGCCTCTGGGCTTTGTTGTCCAAATGCTAATGTCTCAAAAATGTGAAGTTTTACTACACGCTGTAGCTGCTGTGCTCCAATAGCTTTTGCAGTGCAAACTTATTGCAGTATCGAGGTCGCCTGCTCTAGCCTGTTTGACAGTCTCTACTGACATTGCCGGCTGTCATGCAGAAAGATTGTCAGAACTCATTTCGTGTTTGACTTTGCCTTGTTGCTCTGGGACGTCATTAGTCCAGCCTTCATTCTGCAAGCTTTTCCCCCACGCATCTCAAGAGGCCACTTATGATTTATCGCAGGTTTTAACCCCAGGTGAACCGCTTTCTCGCTCTGAAAGTGCTCAACTATTGTTTTCTTTCTTCTGATCTCTCTTTCTCTCTCTCCTGCTTCACTTCCGCAACAGAGACATGTACCACGGCATAGGAGCTTTGGACCCAGAGAGGCTCAACGTGTTCCGCACCGTCAAAGAGATCACAGGTGAGGCGTTTCTTGTCATGAAGCCCTTTTATATCTCTAGCTGATACTGGGATTGAGGCTTTCTGTAAACAGAGTGCTGAATTCACAGTAATTATTTCTCTTTAGCTAGTGAATTAGCTAGTTGCCAGGCATCGTATTAGATATAAGTAAATATACAGACACTGGCCACTTTAGTAGGGACAACTGCCTTGTATGTCCACCCTGCTGAGACAGAGGTGCATCTGTCGATGCACAGTTTGTATTAGTCATTCTCTATTCATGGTCAGTTCCTGACCACAGAGCTGCTCTAGTCTGGATATTTTTGGGTGTTCCATGTACATTTACAGCATTTAGGTAGGTGAAAGTAGTGTTAGGAGTTTTACCCAAGGACTCTTATTGGTATAATGTAGGGTGCTTGCCCAGGCAGTGGGACTGAACCCATACAGCATAGAAGATTAGATGGCATTGAACCTGGCAGTAAAATGTTGCACAGAAGGGAACCACTTGTACTGAACTGTGCTCTCTTGAAAACAAGAGGGAGATGATCCAAATTCCATGACTTTCACTTCTGTCAGAAAAGACTAAGAAGGTATCTTGATATGATATTGATACCAAAAGTGATGAACAATGAGTATATAAAACAGCAAATGAATAGACTTAATTAAGGCAGAACCAGATACGCTGCTGTTTTGCAAGGAAATTTGCAGGGATAGTTTTGCACACCTCCAAAGTTCAGTCTTAGAAGTTGTTAGCATTTTCTGCTTTCCACGATCCAAATGATGTCAATCCCATATTTAGACTCAGCAGTCCATAAAACCTCATTCTACATCTCAGACTTGGCATGGGAAATAGGGCGATATAATCAGATATCATCGATAATGAACAAGTAACCTGATGGAAATGTGTAAAAGGCCATAATCTGTGTTTAGGTAAAAGAACAAAGATAAATAAAGAGGACTAATTTAGCATTAAGCAGTTCGAAAAATATGCTGGGAAGCTGGTGTTCATGTTTAAGAAGTTTTTGGTCTTGTGCACCAGTAATCAGAGAGAGAGAGAGAGAGAGAGAGGTTTGTTAAGAAACTGCCTGTATTATTTCTCTCTGCTATGCACTGAAATGCTAGCTTTACCACACAGATTCCCCTTAATTTACTTCATGTGAATAAAAATAATTGGGCTATATTATCTATATTTTTTTTTTTTACTAGAAAATATTATGCTAATTATTTTTAGATATCGTCCAGGCCTTATCTCAGACATCCAGTTTCAGTGGTCTAGTGCAAATGTTCTTTGGGAACACCAGTTTTTAGGAGGACACAAGTATAACTCATTGGCTTTAAGATTGGAAGGATGCGAAGTCATCCTGTGATTTAAGAAAACAGTGTATTATTGTAAATTGTCTTGAAAGTTACTGTAAAATTACAGCAGTAATTTCAAAAGGCAGGGCCTAGAGAAGGGGTCTAATATGGTGCTATCCTCTGTATATTGCGGGACATAAAATATACTGTGCACATGTGGGTGTGAGTTTTATTAACTTTACATCGCACTTGAAACTGATTCTTTTTTGTTTTACTGTTGTTTTGTCTCATGTGGGCCACCGTAATGTGTTTGTTTGAAAAAGTCTACTGGATATTAAAAACTCCGGCCTTTTGTCACTTTATACTTTTCCTCTAGACTGTGCTACATAGCTAATGAGGTGAAACTGCATTCCTATAATGAAAACCCCGGCAATAAGAAAGAGCAATGACAGTTCTTCCACTACTTCCCCAGAGCTCCCTATTCTCATGCACTTATCTGCCAAAATAATGCTGATCATTAAAACATGTGTAACCAGAGTGCACTTGCTAGCAAATAACAGACCCCGTTTTTTTTTATTTATTAATGTATTTCTTTTAAATGTACTCTCTTCCCAGTCATAGAAGAAAGCCAGCCAGTACATGAGCAGCTACGTTATGGTTATTTTAGTTTTTCTTTGTTCTTATTTCTTCCTAAGACTCAGTTTATGAGTATCAGTACTGCACCTAGTAAACAGCACAAACTCAGTTTGCAAGAAGTTTAATAGATCTTCTAGCCAATGCATTTGAACCCAAGAATGATCAGATCTGTGGATTTCAGGTTTCCTGAACATCCAGTCATGGCCGGAGAACATGACGGACCTTGGCGTTTTCTCCAACCTTGCTACAATTGGAGGAAGATCCCTTTACAGGTGAGAGCAAATGTGCACAAAATGCATAAATCTAAGCCAAAGTTCTTAGATGACTGGATATTTTTTTCAGCAACATAAAGTTTTCTCAGACTTGCAATGAAACAACACAGCAATTAGAGCCAATCGGGTTCTGGGGAAGGTCTTAGAATAAATGTCATGATGATTTGGAACAGTCAAGGAGAAGTCCTAGAAGAAATGACAAAGTGATTAGAACCAATCACAGTCAGGGGAAGGTCTCAGAACAAATGACACAGTGATTAGGACCAATCACAGGCAGGGGGAGGTCTTATAACAAAAGGCACAGCGATTAGGGCGAACTATAGTGAGGAGAAGGTCCCAGAACAAATTACAAAGTGATTAGGGCCAATCACAGTCAAGAGGATGACTCAGAACAAATGACATAGTTATTAGGACCAAACACAGTGAGGACAAAGTCTCAACCCTACATGTTGGTTAGAACCAATACCTATTAAGGGGAGGTCTCAGAACAAATGACACAGTGATTAGGACCAATCACAGTGAGGAGAAAGTCTTGAAACAAACTACATGTTGGTTAGAACCAGTCACAGTCAGGGAGAGGTCTGGGTCATACTACATGTTGGTTAGAACCAGTCACAGTCAGGGAGAGGTCTTAGAACAAACCACATTGTGGTTGGAACCATCACAGTCAGAGGGAGGTCTCAGAACAAACTACATGGTGGTTGGAACCAATCACAGTTAGGAGTGGGAGGTCTCAGAACAAAGGACACAGTGATTAGAACCAATCACAGTCAAGGGGATGTCTCAGAACAAACTACATGAAGACTTGAACCAATCACAATCAGGGGAAGCTCTTAAAACGAATGACACAGTGATTAAGACCAATCACAGTCAAGGAGAGGTCTCAGAAAAAAGGACACAGTGATTAAGACCAATCACTGCCAGGGGGAGGTCTCAGAACAAACTATATGATCATTTGGACCAATGACAATCAGGGGAAGCTCTTAAAATGAACGACACAGTGATCGAGACTGAGACACAGTCAAGGGGAGGTCTCAGAGCAAACAACCTCAAACCAACACATGGTTTTTGGCTGAAAAGTCATTGTTATGCCTGGAAACGTTGTTTTCATTTGAAGTGTTCTGCCGGCTTTACTTCTAGCTCATTATTAGCATGACTGTCAGTGTTCATGAGTTTAGAAGCTGCAGTCGGGAGCAGAGGCTCATAAAGGCACAGCGCCAAATCAACTTTGTCCTTTAACCCCACTTCTATCTCCATCACTTCATGTGTCTTGCCTGTGGTGAAAATTACCATAAGTAATTATTCAGAGTTATTCGCCCAGTTTTTTCAGTTCAGATCCACGGCACATCACTCACACTTCGGGTCTTGTGAAATTGGAGCCTCTGGGTCCCGTGTCGCTCCTTCCAGAGGCTTTCTGGCTTTTCTCCAGAGCAGCTTGGAAAGCAAAGATCCCTGCACTGATCATACTAATGAAGTGGTTTGTCCTGTTCAGGCCTCCTCCTGACTCCCCCCTTAAAACAGCCCCTTTGATGCACTGAAAGACCTCCTTTGATTAATATGCTGTGTTTTTATCACAGGTTTACACTCCCTGATCTTGTCAGATCCAAGAGAGACTCTTTTTTCATTGAGCTGGATCATGGCTGTTTTTTTATTTTTTCCGCACCTCTTGGACTTTGTTGATCTCAGCATGATTTCTCTGGTTCTGGAGAGATGGGCTGATAAAAAAAAAAAAAAGTTGCTTAAACTGTTACATAAACATATTTTTCTCCATTTCTTCCTCTCCTCGGCTTCTTCAGGTTCATAAATGTTTCAGTAACCTGTTCATTTTATCTTATAGTGGATGTAGCTGATATTGGCTTCATTGGTAAGACCAGAATTAAGCCTTAGAAGTATATTCCTCTGGTTCTGATGTGTAATTAAAGTGTAATTATGTACATAATTATGTAAATAGTAACATAGTTACAGAAAGAATTAAGTTTGTCTTCTGGATTGACAGGTTTTAGGCTGCATTTGAACCTTTTCTTGATCATGTTGATGTCAGAAAATAGCAAAAAGGTGTAGAGGGTGTGTATTTTCTTTCCACAAAAACGAGTGTATGCCCTGCAATAACTTTTCATCAAATTCAAATCATAATACAATATTTACTCTTCTACTAAACGCTGGGCTGGTGTTGGCTTATCAGTTCTTTTTTTGAACCTTACAATGTTAGAAACCCACTTTTCACAGAAATTCTCTGCTTGTTTCAACAAAGAAACCTTCAAAACCTGCCATGTCGCTGTCCTTAATCAAGTCATCATTGTTACCCAGTAATATATCAGCTTTTGTTCACACTTGACCCCTGACTGTAATCTCAAAGGAATTGTACTCTCGTGCAAATTGCCACTTCAATCATATCAGCTTTTTAAATTCTGGGTCATGTTAACTCTTTCCCATTCAATTAACAATACACTCCAGGGTAAAAGTACATGTGTGAAAGGGGCTTATGTTTTGAGATTAGAGAAAATAACTGTGGGGTATTGACTCTTGCAGCCGACTCCTCAGAAGGGAGTCCCAAGTTCCTGTCAAATTCCTGTTGAGCCATAGTTAAGGCAGTGTTTGCTGGGCTACGCTCTCAAAAAGAAGTTACTAAACTGGGATTGTACCCCTTTTGTCACTGGGGTGGTACCCTTAAGGTCTTCAGTACCTTTAGTCAGGGAGCATAATTGTACCATAATCCATTACAGCTCTATTTTTTTTAAGTTATACTGACTCCCCAACTTGTCTCCAACATTTTTATTTTATTGTGCTGTTTTAGAATATGAAAGGGTGCAGCTATGTACTTTTCCCTCAGAAAAAAACTTATTAAGGTACACAGTTAGACCTTAAAGCCACTGTTGTACCTTTGAGGGAACATTTACATTGTTTGTACCTTGATGAACAAAAATGTACCTGCACAGTACTTTTATTTTTGACAGTGGAAGTTGGTTTAGGCTATTAAGTACTGACTGTTGTCAGAACTTTATCACTTGATGACACGCAGAAAAAAACGTACTGAACTCTCACTGGGATTGTACCCCTCTTGTCACTGCACTGGTATATTGTCACTGTGCAGATATATTTTTTGTTCTTCAAGGTACAAACAATCTAAGTGTTCCCTCAAAGGTACAACAGTGATATTAAGGTCCAGCTGGGTACCTTAAATAAGTTTTTCCCAGGTGAAAAGTACATAGTTGTACCTTTTCATAACCCAATGTTTTAAAACCGAACAATAAAACAAACGAGACGGGGAACGTTTGGTTAGAGAACATAATTGTACCATAATCCTTTGAAATTATATCTTAGTAATTATGTTGACTCTATACACCTTGTCTTGACCCAAGGCCAGGAGGGACGGTGTCCAGCACAGCTTGGAGATTTCCCTGCTCAAACACACCCACTAAGCCTGGTAATTAACAGATGAGTGTAATCTGGTGTGTTTGTAAATCACCAAACTGTGCAGGGAACTGACCCTTCAGGACCAGAGTACCCCTGCCCTACACCTTTTATTTGATTGTTTTATTTTAAAACATTAACTTATGTAAAGGTATAACCTTATTTAAGGTACACAGGTAGACCACTGTTGTACTTTGGAGGGTACATTTACATTGCTTGTATCATAATGACCAAAAGTGTGCCTGCACAATACCCTTTAGTAGTGTACCTGGGGCAGATAGATTTCAGAAATTCTGAAATCTGAAATTGACTGATAAGAATCAATGGAGCTTCAAAGACATTTAAGAGATTTAAGAGTCGGTTCCACACAAGTTTTTTCTCGATTCTCAATTCCATAAGCCATTTTCATACATGTGCTTTTGCCTGAGACTTTAATGGTAATGAAATCAGAAGTTGGTAAAGTGTGAATCAAACAAGTCAGAATCAAAAAAGGTGATGAAATTGATGTGGCAATCTACCTGCATGACACCTAGGACAATTCCTGTGATGTTTCAAGTAGGGCGTTAGGTAGGTTTGTGTGAACAGAAGCCAATATATTACAGAGAAAACAATAATGCCTTGATTACTAAACTGGAAAATCTGCATCTCTAGGGTGCTTCATTTGACTCTCCTTAAACATCTCGAATCTTCTGCATGAGCCCAAGTTTGTTAGACTTGTATTCATGCAGCTACTCACGCCGAAGGTTTGGTGGTCATCTTACTCTAGTGTTTAGTAAAGAAAGCACTATTACTTGCCTAAAATATGTAGGCATGGATCCTTAAAACCTTAGGTCAACCATGGCATATATGTCTTTCTTGGCTCCTTTTACAGTTCCTCCCACATTGCCACACAAGATTAGGCACCCATGATACCAGATAAAAAGCCACACTTCGGTTCACCAAACCCACTTTGGTCTTGGTGATCCGTGTGATCACCTGTTGACTCCAAGTTTGACCGCATTTACGGTCATTTCTTTTGTTTCTCCAGTGGGATCTCTCTGCTGATTCTGAAGCAGCGCTGGATTTCCTCCCTCCAGTTCCAGTCCTTGCAGGAGATCAGTGCAGGAAATGTCTACATCACCAACAACAGCCAGCTGTGCTACTACAACACCGTCAACTGGACCGGCCTGTTCCGCACCAGCAGCCAGAGAGCCCTCATTAAGAGCAACAAGGACCCACGAGAATGCAGTGAGTACTCCATAGTTTCAGCTTCGGCAGTTTGGAATCAGTTTAAATAGTTTAAAGCCAATTTTATTGCTGATTGGTTTATAAAAGGATGCAACTCCACAACTTCAAATAGTTTGTAGAACTAGAACTGCTCAAAGTGATCAAGGGCTGAAGATGGTTCCATGAAGACTGTGAAAGGTGTAGAACCTTTTAATAAAAATTTGTTTTTAACAGGTAAAATCTCAAGGCTATAATCAGACAAGCACAGTAATATTTCTCATTTGAACACACAATTTTTTTTATAGCAGGATCTAAACTAAAATTTCCTTTTCAAAGACAAAGCCGGCAGAATCAAAAGGTAGATGTTGCCCACGGTCACCTGATGAAGATGCTGGCAGACGGATGGGCCACTTCCAGTGCCAGGCTGTGTTAGTTGTAATTAGTGTGCTAATGGCTCTGTGGTGAGGAGGATCAATGGCTCTAGCTGCTTCATTCATCCGCCCGCTTATCCATGCTGACCATCAAAGCAGACTAATGCACACATGCCAGTCCAGTAGCCTCCACAGAAACATAATGTTTACACACATGCTTAGCTATGAAAGCTAAAGATAAGGCTAGTCCATCAGGGGGAATGGTGAACTTTGTCACTTAAAGGCAACATGTCAGTTTTTGGTCAGATATGATGTGTTTATTGATACTGTTGACTGATAAAAGTAGCTTACAGTATCTTACAGTAACAACATTAACTACTATAGAACTTATTTCTTTGGAACTCTACATTATTGAGGAGAAATGGCAAGTATCCATATAGTTGCATTAATTAGGCTTGACCATTCTTAAATGCCAAATACCTTGTGCTAGGGGTGTGCATTATGTAAAAAATGTAATATTGTGATAAATCAGACACAACCCCATTACTGCCACATTTAAAAAATACTATCGAAAACTATGAATACATTGATTTTTATTCAACCTATTGCATAACGTGCTGCACAAAATCTATTTAATTTTGTCTATGTAATTTTGTATCAGCATAGCAAACCCAAAATAAAGGGAAGAGTTTGAATAAACCAATAAAATGCTTATGCTTGGTCTTCATATCACTTGGTGGGCAACTTTTAAACCTCTTAAAGTCTTTGTTTGAAAAATATTCTGGTAACTTGAAAATTTCTGTTTGGTTTAAATGTCGAACTGCAAGAAATCAATACATTGCTTCACAATGTTGCATCATGGCAACATTACATTGAACAGATTTAGTCATTTTTTTTAAACTTATTTTTAGGATTTTTAAACACTTCAAGATAAATGCATAGCTTATTTACTCAGTTTTGCTCCAAATATTTTTTATTTTGGTTTTCATATAACACTTTACGGCATAACACTTTACAGCAGATTTTGTCCACTTTTTTTGCATGTAATAGAGGGTTAAACTGGACTAATTATACTATGACACTCTGTATCATTTCTTCTCATCTTTTTACAATGTTGCCTCTATGCAACATACCCCAAAGGTCCCCAACACATTACTTTTTTCCTTTTTTGCATGTAATAGAGGGTTAATCTGGACTAATTATGCTCTCTACATTGAAACATATGACACTCTATATCATTTCTTTCCACCTTTGCACAGTGTTGCCTTTAGGCAACATACCTCAAGAGGTCCCCAACACATTACTTTTTTCTTTTTTCTTTTTTTGCATGTAAAAGAGGGTTAAACTGGACTTATTGTGCTCTCTACTTTGAAACATATATCATTTCTTTCCATCTTTGCACAGTGTTGCCTCTAGGTAACATATGTGAATAGGTCCCCAACACATTACTTTTTTTCTTTTTTTGCATGTAATAGAGGGTTAAACTGGGCTAATTATGCTCTCTACATTGAAACATATGACACTCTATATCATTTCTTTCCATCTTTGCACAGTGTTGCCTCTAGGCAACATTCCTCAAAAGGTCCCCAACACATTACTACATGTAATGGACTTGGGTTAAACTGGACCAATTGTGCTCTCTACATTGACACATGACTGTCTGTATCATTTCTTTTGATCACTGATCTTTTTCAGGCAACATTTTTTCTTTCTTTTTCTTTTTGCATGTAATAGAGGGTTAACCTGAACTAATTATTATTCGCTCAGCCTTGAAACATACATTTCAAATGTAGTTCAGTGTTCTGTTAGTACTGACAACATCCACAATATGGTCAAAAAAACATATTGTGACATAATTGATCATGATGAATATATCAGCATATCGCCCAAGCCTACCTTGTTTCTTCCATTCACTGACCACTTTATGAGCTTTGTAGCTGTGTGATTACAGTCTGTAGACCATTTATTGATGTACAGTCTTATCAGCCGCCCTCTACTCCATACATCACTGGTCAGGTTCTGACCACAGCGCTGCTTTTGTCCAGATATTATTTGGGTGGTGGACTAATTCTCAGCCCAGCAGTGACACAGTCGTAACAGTGTGTGTGGAGATGTGTAGAAGAGTGTATCAGACACAGTGATGGTTTTTCACATGTCGGTGTCACTGTCAAGAGCAGCTCTGTGGTCAGAAACTGACCATTGATGAAGGACTAGCAAGGCTGAGGGGCTAGTAAGTAAATGTGCAGTGATTTTAACGTGTAAATTGGCTGAGAAGACTAATCAAGGCAGCAGAAACATGAAGTGCAAGCGCACGTACAGCATCCAGAAGAAAATGATGGCAGGTTTATTAAATAGAGCAGCGATGCAGCAACTTCATCTACAGCTTATTTGGAAGTGTGTAATTATCACTTAACTACTTGTCATAAGTAATTATCTGTTGCGTTCTCATTCATAGCTGTTCACTTAAGACAAATGCCTCATTTTTAGCGCAGTGTATGTGTATGCTTCTGTGTGTTTGTATTACTATCATTATGATGGTGTGAGGTCCTCACAAGGACAACATGACATTTTTGCTCAAGTGAAATCCTCATTTATTTCACCACAAATTACTGAAAAACTAAAGGAGAAAAAATTTGGATACTGAGGTTAAGGTTAGGGTTAGCTTAGTAGTACAGTAATATGGTAATAGAAATAACAATAGAAATTAATGGATGTCCTCACTAGTAATTTAAGACAAACATGTTTGTGTGTGTGTTTGTGTGTGTATGTGTACATCAGGTTTATGGCATTATGACTTTCTTCTGTGTGGGGAACACAAGCTGGTCCCCACAGCGTAAACCATTCAATTTTAAGGTGAAGATGTATTTTAAAGTTCTATGGTGAACGTTTGGGTAAGTCTCTAGGAAATGAATGGAAGTCTATGTAATGTCTCCACAATTAACAGAAACCAACGTGTGTGTTTGACAGCTCATGAGCGGATGGTGTGTGATAAGCTGTGTTCAGAAGCTGGATGTTGGGGTCCTGGTCCAGATCAGTGTCTGTCCTGCAGGTTCTACAGTCGAGGCAGAACCTGTGTGAAGTCCTGCAACCTCTACAGTGGGTGAGTGCTCGTGACGTAAAAATGACAAGAATATTTGAATCAAATCATGGTGAACTGTAAGATTTTATGATGGATTTGTTAAAGAATCATAATCAGAGTGAATCATGTGACGTAACTGGGTACAAACATTTATGGTTTAAATAAACAGTTAAGAATAAGAAGAAAACAGAGGAATAAAAATGACCTGTTTAACTGTAAAGTCAACCTGCAATCAAAACTTCATTATCTTCCTTTTCTTTCTTTCTTTCTTTCTTTCTTTATATTTTCTTTCTTTATTTCTTTTGTTGTTTTTCCTCTTCCTTTCTTTCTGTCTATAATTCTTTCTCTTACTTTGTATTTTTTTTCATTCTTGCATTCATTTTTTCTTTTTCTTTCTTTCTGCATGATTCTCTTCTTTTTCTCTTTCTTTCTATTTTCTTTCTTGCATACTTGCTTTTTTCCTCTTCTGTCTTTCTTTTTTACCTTCTTCGTTTTTCCTCTTCTTTCTTTCTCTTTCTTTCTTTCTATTTGTCCTTTTATTTTTACTTTTTTCTATTCTTTTTCCTATTTTCTTTCTTTCTTTTTTTGATTCTTTCTTTCTTTATTTCTTTATTTATTTATTTCATTTTACTCTTATTTCTTTCTGTATGATGGTTTCTGTCTTGCTTGCTTTTTTGCTTTCATTTTTCCCTTCTTTCTTTTTCCTCTTTTATTTTTTTTTGTATCTTTCTTTCTTTTCTTCTTTCTTTCTTTCTGTCTTTCTTTCTTTATCCTTTTGTTTCAGTTTTATTTTTTGTATGATGGTTTCTTACTTGTTTGCTTTTTTTCTTTTTTTTACCCTTCTTTGTTTCCTTTTTTTATTACTCCTCTTTTTGTTTCCTGTCTTTTCCTATTCTTCTTTCTTCTTTCTTTCTTTCTTTCTTTCTTTCTTTCTTTCTTTCTTTCTTGCTTGCTCTTTTTAATGTCTCTTTAATTCCTACCATTTTCTCTTTTTTTAATTTCCCTTTTTTTAATTTCTCTTTGTAATTTCTACCGTTTTTCTCTTTCTTTCTCTCTTTCTTTCAGGAAATGCAAATCTATTTTTATTGTCTGTCTATAAGAATTATACTAAAGTCAACAGAAATATGAAATAGTGCATATACAATTATGCGGTAACCCCCCCCAAAAAAGTGAAAACCACACCTCTTCTACTTTAGATTCTTTAAAATAGCCCCCTTTGCATCAATGTAGTTTTATACATTCTCTTCAGCAGCTTCATGAGGAGCCACCTGAGACGCTTTTCTATCAAAATAAAAAAAACGTTAATAAATAGATTAATAGATTAACCTTTAAAATTAGATTAAAAACTAATACCTAGGCATTAACCTTGTTATAGAATCAAATGCCAAGCATTTCAGTTTGTCTTTCAGATTATGAAACACATCTGTTCTCTCAGGTGTGTCCAACATTTGATTCTGTTTACACTGTAACTCTGCCTGTAATACCGACTGCGTCGACACTGAAGAAGCCAAAAACATGGCTAACTCCCCTCCTTCCCCTCATACACAGAACAAACACACATCCCTCCATAGAACTGAACAGGAGATGCGAGTGTGACAAAAAAGAAATTACCATTTCAGTCCAGTGGGACCATTAAAAAAATGGAACATGTGGATGGGAACATTTTTTCCCGGTGTATTCATTAAACAATAGCAGTCCTCCTCTCTGCACTCTGTGTGAATAGAGCTCCCCAGCGATAGGAAATTTTAATTTAGTGCCTGACAATGGACTGTCGCTGCAGGGGAGCGTCGGGGGGTTGATGAATGGAGGTGAGCTTGATGTGCTTTGCTTGGCATTCTCTAATTCTATTCATTCTGTTCCTTTAACTTTTATTTTAGTCCCACCGAGACCTGCCCAAGATTTGCTCTGTGAACTGCTGGTGGTACAGAGATCAAGAGTTTGTGAAATTTGAGTCTATTGTCACTCTACATGCAAGAAAGTGATTCATAAAAACCATAAACACATAAAAAAAAAACTTTACACTGAAATGCAACCATAACTACTGTAGAAAATGCACCCATAAGCAAAGTTATCAACTTTTCATAGTTTGTCACTTTTAGGCAAAGTTCTCGGATGGTTCTAGCATGCAAAGATAGACCCCTAAAGGGTGGTAGGGGGGCTTGAGCTTCAGCCCTTTTGCCTTCAGACTGCACGAGTGCCCTCTTGGACGCTGTGTATAATTGTGTTTTATACGATGAAGCCCTCACATCACTTCATATAATGGATAGTTACGGTCCTAAAACCTGATTGGCTGGGCCACGTTCAAAGCCGTTGTAAAATCCACGATACACACACACCTATGACCACCTCACAGTGACTGAATTGTGTATCACTGCGCCATGGAAAGAAAAACACCCTGTGCTGTTAATGGAGTAATCTTTGACTCTAATGCTGTTTGTATGGATCACTGAGTATATTGATAGAATAAGAACCCATTTTTTGTTTAAACTGAGGGTCTGGCAACTTACAGTCTTAACTAGAACTAGGCTGGTCTGTTAGCTAACAGCCTAAACAACTCTGTCATTAACATCACAGGCCTGAATTAAAGTACTTACAGTCTGATTACCTGTAAAACGACAGTATAAAAGTCTAAAAAATGTCACTTGAATGTCTTGCACACCTTAAATGTCCATGTTTCAGTCAGAAGTCGCATCAAACCCAGGCTGAATCCCAAACGGCTCAATAAATAGTGCGCTGGCTATGAATGTTTAGAAATTCTAGCCTCTACAGCCAAATAGAGTATCATTTATAGAGTGTGGATGTGTCTGAGTCCCAAATGACTGTTTTTTTTAGCTATATTATTCACTGTTGGGCTGCAGGATCCAGTATTTAAATTCCAATGTAGTGCACTATGTATGGAGCAGGGAGCCATTTGAGATTCAGCCCCAGTGTGAGAAGAGGGCACCGCTGGATTGGTGACTTGTGGTAGTAATTTGGTGACCAAAAAGTTCTTATAAAGCAAAAGTTTGTGCAATAAACAGTGCTGTGTTATCATATGTTCGTTGCTGTACAAGAAAAAATGTAAAGGTTCATGAAATGACCGCAATATACAGCCATATCCTCATTCAGCAGTCCATGGTTGCTTGGCAGTGATACCATATTCTAAAGGAACTACATTTCTGGGTGGAATACTTGTATATGTCGACTATTATTAATAATTACTCAAATTATTTTCTGGAAAATTGTGCGTTTTACCAAATTTTATGTCGGCTGCCATTTTATAAAAGCAACAAGACACTTGAGGCTGTGAATTACCACGATTTAATCACAGCAAAGGGAGTTTTAGGCACTCTGTAATAGTGGAGGAGCAGCTACAATAGCATGTGGAAAACAATCAAGGGTTATAATTTCATAATTCTATTCACCTGAACCATCAGGACCATTAAGCTCTTTGGAAAGTGCTGAAGTTTCCCAAGATGGTATGTTGCACTCTGAGAAACTCACAGCAGACAGAGTGGAAAATTTACTATAGCCCTAATTATTAATGTCCTTAAAATAACCCAATGTCTTGTAGATAAAAATGAATAAAACACTACATGTACATATTATTTAACGATATTTTGGAAGCTATTTAAAGTTAAATTAGTCCTCCGTAGTTCTCTAGCAGCTCTCATTTCCAAGATAGTGATCATCACCTTTGAAGGATCGTCATCGGGGTTACTTGTAAATCATCAGTGATATCCCTTTACATCAGCCAGGCCTATTATTTAAGGAAAATAATCCTTCTTTTTCACCGGATCACAGATTTCAGTGTAAAGTGAAATTTTCTTCACACTATTGTTATGTAGACTACTGTAATTAACAGCTTTGGATCAGTGGGATTCTTGGTGTCTCTGCAAGCTGCTTCTATAAAAAAGTCTATTGAAAAGAATATGAATATTTCTCTCTAGACAGGCAACCTTCATATTTATATCTTAACCCTTTAACATTCCAGGCTTTTTACATAATAAGACTTATTACACATTAACTACAGGGACTTCAATGGAAACTAATGGAGCTAATCTTACGTTATAGAAGCTTTGGGCCTGCCGACGGGCCCATGGCTTGGTAAGGGAATCCATATTTCCCATCATTTTTAAATTCTGGTATATTTTTGTTTGTCCTGCTGTTCGGCCCCTAACGCCGAGAAGTACTCTTGCATTAAGTGGAGAGTCTACAAAGGGACAAATAACATTACATGGTGCACTAAGATGCCCCTACAATCATAAGAACAAATACTACCAGTGGCTTTTAGATGCACCCTTATGTCATTGAGACATGCAGCAGTGATAATGTAGGTCTCTGCATTTCCCTTCAATACTCATCCATTTTTAAAGACATCTACTAGCCAAAAGTTGTGTCTGTGCACTTGCCTCTAGAAACCCACTCCGTCACTCCTATTATGAGCCGTAAGCTTGAACTACTCCTCGATGACGAGTTTTAAACACAGCGCTGGCGCTCACAGCCTCCCTTCCATCAGATATCTGGTAATGGAGGTGTCTGGAGCATCATTAAGTACATTTCATTAGCATTGCACTGTGTTACAGCCTCTTTATTAGCTGAATTGATTCGATCCTTTAAAGCGGGGAGGTAGCTCTTTTTTCTGCACTGCTATATGAGTGAGTGAAGTCTGCAAGCCTGCTAGCTGAAGTAGCACCTCACTGAAAACCGCTAATCTGGTTGAGAGTGAATTGGAGTTAGCGAAGAGCAGTTAGCATGAGTCGCTAACCTGTTCCTTTTAGGTTAAATGGGAATTCCATTGCATAATTCGGTGTTTGAGATGAAAGCAAAGATGTTCAGACTGGTTTGATGTGAAATTGCGTACCAAGTCAGATGTCTTTACAGTGGTGGTGATAGGAACCGGACGTCTCGAAGAGTACGATGCAAATATAGCCATTTGGTTTACTATCCAAAACCACCAGTGAACCAGTGAGCTTTTATATGGAATGTTGATGATGGTGGTAAAATAGTGAAAAGCTGAAAATGACTTTCTTTGGGGACTATTTTGCCTTAGAACACCCTGCATGTATCCCTCCACCATTAACTCGTATCATAAAGCCGTTGTAACACAATGTCTCGGGTATGAAACAGTGAATTCATAACCATTTCATGTAGTAACTTTCTGTGAGGGAGCTTTTAGAGGTGGACGTCTGGTTCCTATCACCACCACTGTGAACAATTCTGACTCTGTAAGTTTATCTAGAACAGCATTTCACACCAAACCACTCTGAACAGCTCTGTTTCCATCTTTACTATCTGTTATTTGTCTTAAGACTCATTATTTAGTAAGTAGTATGTAGATAATATGCAGGTTATGTGGTTATGAGAAATGAACTGTGGGCCCATTCTCAACTTCTTGTTAGCACGTTAGCATTTTTGCAACTCTGCTAGTCTTTGGCAAAAACGCTGGCTTATATGGAGAGAGAGACAGGTATTGACAGCTCGTCCAGGTGGTTTCCCAGCGGGCTCAGTCGGTGGGCCGCCTGCAGCCATCTGTTGGGATGAATCGGAGGGACGGTTGTTTGCCTAGTTCTCCAGCAGTCTGCTGGAGGAAAAGCAGCGTTTGCCAATGAATTACTCTGCAGTAAATTATGCATGGATCCTCTTTCTCAGGTCTGTTTAGCATATTGACCTAACCCTGGGCTCTTCACGGTGGACCTGGTCCAGCGCTGGAGTCCAGAGGCTTTCACAGGCCGGGGGGGCTTTGAGTTTAGAGGAAATAAAGCACCACAGTAATAAGAACAGGGCAAAGTTGATATTTCAGGTTTTGCTGATGTTGCTGAAACCAGAGGCCTCAGATTGGTGTGGTGAAATGCGTCTTGCTCAGAATAGTTTTAATATGGCAAAAAAGAAAATAAATAAACAAATAAAACCCCCCAAAAATAAATGAAGTAAATATTGTAATAATAATAAAAGCAACAACAAAAAGAAAACAAAAACAATTAACAATTGAAAGCAACACAATAATAATAATAATAATAATAATAATAATAATAATATAAAAAAGAAAAGAAAATGGATAAAATTTAATTATTGTAAAAATTGATTTATACATTATTATTACTTTGTTGTTTTTATTCTAATAAAACCAATGAAATGCTAAAAAGTCTAAATTTTAAAAACAATAAATTCAACTAATAATTAATGTAAAAATAAACCAGTTAAAAAATAAATGGATTATAAAAAAATAATAACAAAAATAAAAAGAATAATTTGAAATGCATAGGAATAATAAAAATAAAATAATAACAATTCGTGAAAATAAATAAAAATGAGAAACTGAAATAAACAAACAAACAAACAAACAAATAAATACATACATAAATAAATACATAAAATTCTAAATAAAAAATAAATGAAAATAAAAAAGAATAATATAAAAAAAATCTTTTGACAACATTTAAATGGTATTTGAATTTTTTCATTTTGTTATTTTATAATTGGACATTTTTATCATATTAATTCTAATAATTAAAGCAAACTGCACAGAACAAATGACTGGGATTCATTGTGTTTCAGAGGTATTTCAGTTCAGTACTGTGTGTGAGGCATTTTCCTCTGTGACACTGAGACGTTGGATGTTTTGCTAACAGTGTGTGTGTGTGTGTGTGTGTGTGTGTGTGTGTGTGTGTGTGTGTGTTTTTATTTCAGGGACGTCCGTGAGTTCGTTAATGGTTCAGTGTGTGTGGAGTGTGACAGCCAGTGTGAGAAGGCTGGAGATAAAACCCTGACCTGCCACGGCCCAGTAAGAGAGCCTTTCTTCACTTTCCTTTCTTTTATTCTTCCTTTGGGAATCTTCTCCAAAACTGAGGGTCGCTTGAGCTTATTGTTTATTTTCTTCATGCAAATGCTGAAACGTTGGCAGCTCGTCAAACACAACCATTGGAAGTCATGAAAGCAGAAGATAATTTTTGCTTTTAAGTGACCCATCTCCACCATAAATATGCAACATCGAAGGGTCACAAAGTAAAGTTTGGATATGTGACCTATGTGACTTTTTCCCTGAAGCTCGAGGTGGATTGCGTCATCCGTTGTGAGCTGGTCCTTTTCTAAATAAATGCACAGAGACACAGGAGAGGATTTACGCTCTACTCTGATTTCTTGTCAGTGACAACAGCTCCAAATCCACCCACCATTACGCACCATTTAGCTGCTACTTAACATGCATAGACACAACTGCCTTATGCTTCCACTCACTGGCCACTTTATTTGAAACACCTACCTCGTACTTTGTCTCACTGGCCACTTTATTAGAAACACCTACCTTGTACTTCCACACAATGGCCACTTTATTAGAAACACCCACCTTGTGCTTCCACTCACTGGCCACTTTATTAGAAACACCTACCTTGTACTTCCACACAATGGCCACTTTATTAGAAACAGCTACCTTGTACTTCCACTCACTGACCACTTTACTAGAAACAGCTACCGTGTACTTCCACACAGTGGCCACTTTATTAGAAACAGCTACCTTGTACTTCCACTCACTGACCACTTTACTAGAAACACCTACCTTGTACTTCCACACAATGGCCACTTTATTAGAAACACTTACCTTGTGCTTCCACTAACTGGCCACTTTATTAGAAACACCTACCTTGTGCGTCCATTCACTGGCCACTTCATTAGAAACACTTGCCTTGTACTTCCACTCGCTGGCCACTTTATTAGAAACACCTACCTTGTGCTTCCATTCACTGGCCACTTTATTAGAAACACCTACCTTGTCCTTCCACTCACTGGCCACTTTATTAGAAACACCTACCTTGTGCTTTCATTCACTGGCCACTTTATTAGAAACACCTACCTTGTCCTTCCATTCACTGGCCACTTTATTAGAAACACATGCTAAGGGATTAAACCTGGGCTTTACCAAAATGCACATCAAAAATTAAGGGATGTCACTGTAGAATACTAAGGTAACTGATTTTAAATAATAATAATAATAATAATAATAATAATAATAATAATAATAATAATTGTATCAAAATCTATATTAAACACACTACAGAGCAGTCATTTAAAAAGAAGTATGCCAACAAAACAAAGCATGTTCCACATCTTTCAAGCCTTATTTGGCTTATTGTTTGATTATGTTTCTCTCTCTCTCTCTCTCTGTCTCTCTCTCTCTCTCTCTCTCTCTCTCTCTCTCTCCCACTGTAGGGTCCAGATCAGTGTACGAAGTGTCTTCATCTGAAAGACGGTCCTAACTGTGTGGAGAAATGTCCTGATGGGCTGCAGGGAGCCAACAGCTTCATCTTCAAATACGCTGAAAGCAACAACGAGTGCCATCCCTGCCACCCCAACTGCACCCAGGGGTAAGTGCCTTTCTGCGTATATATTTTCATTCCACGAAACATCCATGGCGATGCCTGTAACTGCCCTTTTTGGTTGAAATTCCACAAAATGTCACAACACATGAAATCAGCAGAACTTGCCTGTGTCCTCTGAACCTTCGTTCACCAAAGGCTCCCACTGTTCACTTCTCCAGAACTGTGCTGCTCTGTTTTTACCACTAGAAGCAGAGCGAAAGATCAATCCAACATCTGTACTTTCCTTCTCATCCCTCCCTCTGCATTCCTCCTTGATCTCCCTTTACTCCCAAAATCAAAGCACTGTTCCCCCTATTCTGTAGCGTCCCTCTTCCCTTCATCTTAGTGACGATGTTCGTCGCCTCTGGCTGCTGTCAGGCTGCTGAATCTCACTCTGACTCTCCAGATTTCTGGAGTCCAGTCAGCAAGAAGACAGCTCCCTCTGACACACCTAAGCTACCCTAGTGTGATAGATGGAATTCAAGATTAGCACCACGGCATGAGGCTAGTGAAGGTGACTCCCTCCCTGGCGTGGAATACCACCACTGGACGAGAGCCACACCGGGCTTTCTCTGCGTCTAAAGAAATAGGAAGGAAGTCCGACTGAAATCACTTACTTGCTTAGAAAAATACAATGACAGTTGAAAAAATAGGGACATCCCAAGCCAATCAGAATGGTTGAATAGTCACCACAGGACAAGAGCCACACTGGTTACTCCACAGGAATTTATCCCACATCAAAAGTAAAACAAAGGACGACTGATTAAAATGATATACTTCCTTTGAAACTATAGGGATAACCTGATTGGATCAGAGCCGACGAAGGCTCACCACAGGACAAGAGCCACACCGGTTACACGACAGGAATAATGCCTGCATCTAAAGAGATATGTAGGAAATTCAATTAAAATCATATACTTGCTTTGAAACTAAAAGGATGTCCAGATCTGATCAGAGCCAATGAAGGCTCACCACAGGACAAGAGCCACATCGGTTACACCACAGGAATTTACCCCACATCTAAGGTAAAACAAAGGAAGATTGATTAAAACCATATGCTTGCTTTGAAACTATAGGAAATCCTGATTTGATCAGAGCCAATGAAGGCTCACCTTAGGACAAGAGCCACATTGGTTACACCACAGGAATTTTCCCTGCATCTAAAGTAATATGTAGAAAATCCAATTAAAATCATATACTTGCTTAGGAACTGTAGAGATGTCCAGATCTGATCAGAGCCGATGAAGGCTCACCACTGGACAAGAGCAACACCGGTTACACCACAGGAATTATGCCTGCATCTAAATTAATATGAATGAAGTTTGATTAAAATCATATACTCACTTAGAAACTATAGGGATGTCCAGATCTGATCACAGTCAATGAAGGCTCACCACAGGGCAAGAGCCAAATTGGTTACACCACAGGAATTTCCCCTGCATTAGTGGTAAAACAGAGGAACTTGGAGTCAATTGAAACTGCAACTATGTCTCAATCTGATTTAAATGAGTGTGACTGGAGCTGATAGAGGCTCCTGCTGGTCACACTGTAGGAATTTTCTTGCTTCTGTAGAGAACTGAGGAATACAGGGCTAAAAACAACCCTATGTGTGTTATTTGGCAACCCAGCAGTGGGTAAATATTGGACAGAACACAAGCTGCATTATTTTAACCCAACTGCTTGGTTTAAGTAATTTAACCGTTGTGTTGGGTTTGATTGTTACAGTGACCCAACTCTGGAATCACAAGCATTACTTCAACTGAATTAATCAGCAAATCAAAACAATAAAAAAACTGGAAACATTGACAGCCTTGAGGAGGGTCTGCTGTTCCAACGCTTGCCCATTCACAGCAACAGTATGCTGACAATTCTCAGTTTCAGACTCCAAGACAAAAAGGAAGGTCTTCTTCTGTTGAATTGGACCGTGTTGGTCACACACTAAAGAAGATGTTGCTCGTGATAGTGCACATTAAAGATTACAAATCATTAAAAATCAACTGAATACTCGAAAACGAACTGAAAGACAAAAAACATTATTATTTTTCAAAGTATTATTTATTAATTAGTTCATCAGAACTGTTTTACTCTGACAACTGAATCTTCCTCAGAGAACAATAACATCAACCCCCCTCCCTGCCTCACACACATTTTCCTTTTCTGTCCCTCTCACTTACTGTCTGTCTGTCTGTCTGTCAGCCGTTTAAGCTCCAAATGATTCAAACTTCCCAATGATGAAGGCTTTGACAAAAGAATGGAACAGAATACTTTTAAAATTACTAAATAAAGTGGTGAAAACAAGGATGTGTGTGGAAAATGTGGTAAACTCTATCTTTACCGTTGCTCTGAGCCTTTTCCTGAGGTAACACACCAGTGTTGCTAGCTAGATAGTTAGCTAGATAAATAACTAGATAGCATCTGCACTCAAATTTGACACCTTAGCTAGATACAATGGCCCAACAGGATCAAATTAGATGGTTTTCTATTCTAGAAAGTTAGCTAGGTAGTAGGAAATGAGGACATAAGCATAAGTTTCCATATATGCTTTCCTTTATAGTTAAGCCCTTAACTTTCCAGGGTTATTTCATACAAAGGCTTATTATTCAGTAACTACAGAGACTTCAATGCAAACTAATGGAGCTATTCTTAGGTTATAGAAGTGTTTAATGAAACGTTGGGCCTGCCGGGGGGCTCATGCCTTGTTAAGGGTTTATTAGAACCTACTGTGTCTACATTAGCTTATCGCTTGATGATAACGTTCAGGCAGGGACTCTGTTTCACTTCATGAAGCCAAATGAAAACTGTAATTAAACAAACAACATTAATATTGTTTTAAATCAATGTTCATAAGCAGTAATTTATCGAAATCAATGAAAAACACTTACCTTAAATCTGCAACTCCAAATCTTAAATATGTCCGCTGCCCTCAGCCGTTAGAAATTCAAACTTACATCTGCATGGAAATGTAACTAGTGGTGACAAGGTGCGGAAACCCAACTGCTGGGTAAAGGAAATAACTCAGCAACTGGTTCACACCATTAACACTAATGTTGGATAGTGCAACAGCAAACCTACCCAACTGCTTGAACCCAGCACTTCTGTAGAAAAAATAACTCAGGATTTTTAGAATGTAATAAAAAAACCATGACTAAGGAGCTCCAGATTTGATCTAAAAGATTATAATTAGAGCTGATAGATGCTCACCGAGTGACAATAGTCATGTTGGTCACACCATTGGAATGTTCTCAGCTGCTGTAGAGAAACTGAGGAGCACAGGGTTAGGAAATCAGGTACTTGCTAAGAAAAGACCATGACTAAGAATGTTTGGATTTGATCTGAAAGATTATGATTATGAGGCTCACCGAATGACAATAGTCAGGTTGGTCACACCATTGGAATGTTCTCAGCTGCTGTAGAGAAACTGAGGAACACAGGGCAAGGAAATCAGGCAGTTGCTAAAAAAAGACGATGACTAAGCATGTCCTGATTTGATCTTTTACTGTAGGACGAGAAGCGTGTTGGTTGCACCGTAAGAATTACACCTGCGCCCGCGGTGAAATCGAGGAGGAGAGAGCTAGTTGAAGTCAGTTTTTTAGAAGAAGAGCATGACTAGGAATGTCCCGGTTTGATATGGAAGACTGGGGTCAAAGATGAACCCATCATATTAATGGATCGGTTTGAGCTGATCCCAGTTTGTTAAGGCTGATTTACTCCATTGCACTTTTACGCCAGTGTGATTAGCTGACATAAGCAGACATTACTGACAGCTAACAGCAGTGAGGCATATTTTCACAAGGTAACAAGCAGTTTGAATGTCTATTTTAGAGTGGAAAATTAAGATACACCAAAAGACACTTGAGATATCTGCATTGTCAGTGATTCGTGGTTGAGGGAGGCATCTTTTTTGTCAAAACGTGGTTAAACTAGCTGCATGTAAAATGTGATTTGTGGCTGTTACACATTTAGCAGTAATGGAAAAAGCAGAGAAAATGGAATAGGCTGCTTCAAGCAACGTGAAATATGAATACAGCATATTTACCGCACTATAAAAACTGCCATTTCACATAATGAGGCCAAAAAAACCTAAAGATTTTAGATGCACATGTATTCCACTGTGCACACACTGAAAAAATGAAATGATTTTACTGCAGCATTTTTAAGTAAATAACATCATAACACGTCTTACAAAAACTACTCGAAACTGGTTGCATCTTCTAATTATCAGACTTGATATCTTCAGCCACCCATTATTAGAGGACTCAGATTTTGATTAGGGCCAAAAAGCTTGACCAGGACATCCCTAATTGAAGTCTTGACCTACAAACATTCAGAAAACATATGTGCAAACATGTACCAGCCCATGTAGCGGATTAACAAGGACTTTGAAAAGCTCTTTCCATAAAGAAAGGACTACATGCCATGACTGTTATTGTGAGCTAATTGGCAATTAGAGCCCACTAGAGCCTGGTGTCATTGTAAGGAGTCCAGCTGAGAGAGATTTAATTCCCTGCCACACTTTTTAATTTGACCCACTCTACCGCTCACGTTCAAGTGCACTCTGGGTAAACGGCCTCAGTCTGGTGCAAAGACAGATATTGAAAACTGAACAGGCCTGAAAATCCTGGCCTGTGTTTGCAATATTGCTTTAGTTACATGTCATATTTCATTTATCAGTACTTTACTGAATGTTTATGTTTTGTTTTGCCCAATTTAAGAAGCGCACTTGAAACTGGACGGGGCAGAAGGTCATAAGGATATAATAATACAGTCACTGTAGTTCTTTATGCTTTACTATATTCTGATGCATAACTGTATCTGTTTCAGGTGCACTGGACCTCGCATCCAAGACTGCATTGGAATGCTGGACAGGTAAGACCCCGGAACGTTCTTTCAGTGAACGGCATTCTAATTGGGAGGCCGGCAAATTAGACCCCAAGACACAGAAAGCAAATCCATTAAATCATTTAATAGGCATGAATATAGAATTATGAAGACACAACATTAGAAATAACCCAGCAAGCATTCATGTGGGACCAGTGTGGGGCCAATGTGAGGTAAAAAGTAGTGGGGCCTAAGACAGTTGTGATACTGGGAGCGTGTGCAGGCCCCCATAATGGCAACCCATACAAATTCCTTATATAAGTATTCTCTCAGTTTTTCTGCAACAGATGTGCAAAATAAAAAAAACGCAAATGTATTTGAATATTGGCAGTTCTCACATGCAGTGAGGCCTAGTGTGGAGTGACCCACAGTGGACCTTTGACAGGTTATCTGTAGGCTAGCCCAGCTGTGTACTGCCCAAACAGAAGAGCTTCAGGGATGGTGACACTTTATTTTGAGTGTCCTTTTAGATGAAAATGATTCTCAGTAACATGTCAAAAACATATGAGGGTTAGGATTAGGTTTGGGTTAAGGTTAAGGTTAGGGTTAGGATTAGGGCCAGGGTTAGTGTTAGGACCCACAATGGACCAATACAAGGTTATCTGTGGGCTACTCCCTGCCCACACAGCCCACAAAAATAGCCCTCAGTGGGCCCACATTGGCATCTTTGCAGGGAATCAAATTTATAAACTCCTGAGTGGCGCAACTGTCTAAGTATTGGGAGATCACTAGTTTGATCGGTAGTGTTCTCTTGGCCAGGAGTCCTTGCTCACTATGGATGAGTAGACTGGTCCTCCTTCTCCCCCATCACTCAGCAGGATGCTAGCCAATGTGGGCAACCTTAGCATTCTCCTGCAAGCATGTAGAGCCGTCTAGTTAAGCTGCATTAGTGGCAGTTTGAAAAAAGGCCTTCAGTCCTCACTGCCAGCATTGACTTACAGCCTAGCTAGTATGTGGAATTAGCTCTGACTAAATAGGAAAAAGATTGGCAAAAATCCCCTCCCCCAAAAAATACTGATAAATAAATCATGGAGGCCTTTTTAACATTCTGAATCTTCCCCTGAATATCATTACTAGAGCTTCTGTGCCTCAGTAAATTTCATGTTCATCTGGGCCGCGCTGTATTGATCGCCCAAATGCCACTCGTTCACCCCGGACCTGACCTCAGCTCTTCATCATCTCTGCTCGCTGAGTGTTTATGAACATTATTCTTCTCCTCATGGAATTCATTCAGCTGTCCATGCCCAATGCTCTGAAAGTTGTAAAAAGAGTTAAAAAGAGTTCAATTGGGTTTCAGACAAAGCATTACTTTAAATGTAGCTGTGAAAAAGGAAACACGTGAAAGTAGAAATAGAAAAACACATTTTAAAGCAGGTTATGTTACAGAAACACATTTTCAATGGTAGCAGGAGTAGTTCAGTCTTTAAGGCTGCAGCCTTTTGGGGGTCTATCATTTACTTGATGGACAATAAAATTAGAGGACAAATGAGGACTGTCTACATTGTGGAAATGTGTAGTTGGATGCTTGTTTGGGGTTTTAATAGATTATATTTTATATTACAGAGAGCCTGCTCAGCATTCAGGGCTCTGTCTCACCTTCCAGTATTTCAGCATTAGTTTGGTTCAGTCTAGCCCTGGTGCCAGTGACAATTACAGCTGCTGGTTGTATCTGGTTGTTGGATCTAAACCCCAGCACAATGGATTTGGATCGATATTAGGTGGAGAATGTAGGACTTACAGCACAATTTATACATAGTTCTACATTTTCCCCCATTTACTAATTACCCAGTCTTTCCCAGTAATTTGCAAATTGGCTGCTTGTTTTTTTTTGTTTGTTTGTTTTTTTTTTTTTTTTTGGTCAGATGAGTGTAGTTGCATCATGCATAAAGTTATTCATGTATTTCTTACTAAACTGTACAACAAAATACTACTACTACTACTACTACTAATAATAATAATAATAATGATAAAGAATAATTATATTATTATTATTATTATTATTATTATTATTATTATCATTACATGTTCATAGAGGTTTATTATTGAATACATGACTACAGCTATACCTAGCTGAATTATTCTTAGGATATATATAAGTTATGTAATAAAAAAGTGTAAATATGGAATAAAAGACATCAAGAATTGCTATAATAATAATAATAATAATAATAATAATAATAATAATAATATGATCATGAAGAAAATCTTAACCTCTTTTATTATGTCTCTACATAACCTAAAAATAACTCCGCCATATTGCATTGTAGCTATGTAATTACTGAATAATAAGCCTATATTAAGTTTGTAAGTAATATTAGTAATAATGCCAATAAGAAGAACAACTAGAAGCTGAAGAAGAAAAAGAAGAAGATGAAATGGGATCTTTGGAAGTCCTGATAGTAAATTTTGGCTGACAGATCAGTTCTGAATCATGAGTATCACTGGACTCTGCTGTCATGACCTTAAATGTTACATAATGGAAAAGCAACTTTGTGCATTTTCATATCGGCTAATATCCACTTACAACCAAGGCTACTATGTGAAAATGCAGAGCAAACAGTCCTTTTATCTGTAACTGAAATGTTTTTCCCCAAAAGCCAAGCAAAGCCTTCAGCCCATGTTGCTTGGCATCACTGTTTGACATGCTAGCACTTTTGTTCATGAAGAATGTTTCAATTTCCATATAGAAATTGTTTGGCTTGAAATTGAATGCTGTTCAGAATAGCAAAGGTAGCATAACTCCTCACCTTTATAACAGTGTGGAAGATGAGCAGAGAGCATTCAGCAGCACAACTGGGTCAGGAGTGGAGTAATATTGCAGGACCCTATTTGGCATCCGTTTCACATCTTATCATGAGGAGCTCTGAATAAATGACTGTTGTACTCGAGCTGTGCATCAGCTTTTATTGCATTTGTTTGCTTGGATTAATAGATCCAGACAGATTCGCATCGGGTGGGCTAATCTGAATCTAGCTTTTAGAGTTTATTAAGTCCAGTAACAGGTGATTTGCAGCCTCCTGGGGGTTTGATTCAAGTCTAATCTGAGCAAAGTACTTTTGAAAAGCCCGGTAGATGAGACTGCATGAGTGAATATGGTTTAGAAAGCTGATTTTCACAAAAGATCAGACAAATGGGGAATTATATACGCTCTGCAATTTGAAGAAAGAAAATGAGATGTTACCTTTATTAATAATAAGGATAGCGGTGGTTATATTAACACAAACCCAATTCCAAAATGGGACAAGATGTGAAATCCTAATAAAAACAGAAAGTGCTGTTTAGTAAATTCTGCTTGACCTGCATTAAATTTAAAAACAGCACAAGAACACAATATTGTGTGTTTTACCTTATGAATTTCATTATTTTTGTAAATATCAATCAGGATAGATAAACATATCCCCAGTACATAGGAGACAGGTCTGCAGGCAGGCCAATCTAGAATCTGATTACACAGCCATGGTTTTGTAACATGTGCATAACATTCCTTGCCATTGTTATTTTGCAGCATATATTTCTCCAAAATGTGTTCAGCGATAACAAGTTTTCACAGATGTAAGCTACTCACTAATGCCATAATAAATGCTGGCTTTTGAACTTTACCCTCGGAAATTTGTTCTTCTTTGGTTCAGCAAAGACAATATCTATTATTTCCATAAACATTCTGAAAGAATTTCAGACCAAAATACATGTTTCCACTATGCATCATTCCATTCTTAGATGAGCTTGAGCCCAGAGAAGTCGGCGGTGTTTCTAGACGTTGTTGATATATGGCTGCCACAGTTCATAGTACAGTCTTAACTTGCATTTGTGGATGCAGTGGCAAACTGTATTTACTGACAGCGGTTTGTTAAAGTATTCCTGAAATGTTTATGCAGTGCCATCTGAGGGATTGCAGGGTATTCTTTTTTTCACCTTGCTTTTTATCAACAGATATTTTTCAGGATTCCCTGAATCTTTTTTATTATATTGTGCACTGTCGAGGGTGAAAAACTAAAATCCTTGCAGTCGCTCAATGGAGAACATTGTTCTTAAACAGTTGGACTATTTGCTGATGCATTTTTTGGCAGAATGGCAAACCTCGACACATCCTTGCTTATACAGGACTTGGGCTTTCTTGTTAGCACACTTTAATAAGCATGATTGAATGTTTTGATATGCACTGATAGGTCAAAACAAATGACCAATGTCATGTAAATGAAATACATTTTAATTTTATTGTGCAGATATTTTCTCAGATATGTACATTTTGTAGATGAGCAGTTCATTCCTCTGTAGTGGTACACCAGTGAGGTGGATCTTGGTAGAAGTTTCCAGTGAAGTGGTAGGTCACTGTAATGGTCATTATGGTATTGTTCATATGTCCTACAGGACTCCGCTGATTGCGGCTGGAGTGATCGGGGGGATGTTTGTGGCCGTCATCGTGGCACTCGGCTTCGCCATTTATGTTCGACGCAAGAGTATTAAGAAGAAAAGAGCTCTGCGCCGCTTCCTGGAAACAGAGGTGAGGAAGGATTTCCAGGCTCCTTTGAATTCTGAGGTTGATTTGTTTGTCTTTGTTGTAACTTTGCTTTAATGTATTTCAACCCTCAGAACTCAGAAATAGCAAAGCATGGTGTAATTTTATGTTAATTTATTTCCAGTGACTAAAGCTAGTTTGGGCAATCAAAGTCAAAACTCAGTCAAAAACAAGGACAAAGCATGGAATTGTAGTAGTATGTTAGTGCCAAGCTAACGGTGGTTCATGTTAACATTTTGAGCTGTTTTAGATAAAATGTAGAGATTTGAAGCTTGTTAAAAAAACACATTCCAAATGTTTTATGGGTGTTCAGCTCCTGAAATTCTAACCAATGAGAGAACTTGCTTGGATGTATCTACCTAAAACAAATCCTGACTGGATTACCTTGACAATTGACAATACTTGCAGAGACTAAATACAACAAGCATGAAGATTCCGTTAAATTAAATAGATTGAAAATTGTAGACGTCTTTATTTATCAAGCCATCTCTGAAGGTGTAGGAGGCCCTGTGGAGATATTTTTCAGTACAAGTTATTCATTTTTCAGGAATGTTTTTCTGAAAAAATTAGATATAAAATAATCCATTTGCCCAAGGAAGGAGAAGGTCAAGGGAAAATATTGAAAAGACTGGAGTTTCCAAAATTGGTGCTCAAAAAATAATTAAAAGCTACAGAGAAAATGGGGCTCCTAACAACCACCTGGAAGACCTGGTAGACCCCAAAACTGCCCCCATCAGATAAACAGCACTTAAAGCTTTCATCTTTGAGAGAGGAGAAAATCAAGCTGCTTCAGATCTGAAAACATCCAGTAAATTGCAGTAAACTGCTTCTTACCATGTTAGGTGCATTTTTACATGGAATGAAATGAAACCATTTTACAGTGTGATCAGAAGTGGAGGGGATGATCAGAGATGAGGGGCAGGAGAGCTTTGCCCCTCCTCCTTGCTGCCCCACCTCCAGAGTCCAAAGGACTGGGCAGTGGATTAAAAAACATGGGCTGTCAATGTGTGTTTGGATAATTTGCGAGGGGAGCGTCAGTGTTATAGACAGCTGTCAGCCGGAGGGGACGCCCTCATGTCCAGAAGCTGATGGTCAGCCTGATGCATTCAAGTAGCGACATCCACTTAAACAAACCGGCAGAGTCTGACTGCGTGTGTGTGTGTGTGTATGTGTGTGTGTTTGTGTATGTGTGTGTGTGTGTGTGTGTGTGTGTGTGTGTGTGTGTGTGTGTGTGTGTGTGAGACATTCATTGACACAGCAGTTCAGCTCTGGGACTGGAGCCCAGTCGCTCTCTCTCTCTCCCTCTCTGTATCTCTGTCTCCCTCTCTCTCTCCCTGTATCTCTCTCTCTCCCTCTCTGTATCTCTCTCTCTCTCTCTGGATTTCTCTCTCTCTCTTTCTCTCTCTCTGGATTTCTCTCTCTCTTTCTCTCTGTATGTCTCTCTCAAGTGTCTCTCAGTCACAAAAATGTAAAAGGAAGCTCAAATAGAATACTAAAGAGAAAATGTTCAGACAGTTCACATCTCTCCCTCTCTCTCTCTCTCTCTCTCTCTCCCTCTCTATCTCTCTGTCTCTTTCCTTCATTATTTCTCTCGTTTTCTTTCTCTTTTCCTCCCCTCTCTCTTTCTCGCTCTCTCTCTCTTTCTCTCTCTCCCCTCTCTCTCTCTCGTGTTTTCCCTCTGTCTATTTATCTCTCTCTTTTCCTCTCTCTTTCCCTCTCTCTTTATTTCTTTCCTTCTATTTCTCTAGTTCTTTTTCTATTTTCCTCTCTCTTTCTCTCTCTCTCTCTCTCTCTCTCTCTCTATTTCACTCTCTACTTCCTCCTTTTTTTCTCTCTCTCACTGCTTCTCTACTTTCTCCTTCCCTTTTTTTTCCTCTCTATCTCTCTCGCTCTCTTTCATTCTCTTTCATTCTCTCTCCTCCTATCTCTCTCATTGCCTTTCTCTCCTTTTCTCTCCCCCTGTCTGTTTTTCTGTCTCTATTTCTTTCTCTCTTGCTGTCTATTTCTCCTTCTCTATTCGTCTGTCTCCTTCTATCTCTCACATTGTCCTTCTTGCCTCTCTTTCTGTGTTTCTTGTACTCTATCTGCTTCCTTCTTTATTTCTCTCTCACTGTCTCCCCCCCCCCTCCCTCTATCTGTATTTCTGTGTCTCTCTCTCTCTCTCTCTCTCTCTCTCTCTCTCGTTTTCTGTTGATACAGTAAAACTACACTAGCTGGGGTAACTATTAGTCAGACTACAGATTTTTTTTAGCATTAATTATCTTTATTTATCTTTAGGTATTTTTTTTTCTTTTTTAATGTTAAATGCCAGCTGCCCTTTTACATTGTGTGGAAAAATCATGATAAATGAACGCATGGATGGTCCAAAAACTTGGACTAAAATCTCTGCACATAACTTCTCCTGTAAAGTTGCCATTTGGGAGATGAGTTACACTGACGATATGCTAGTTTTTCTGTACCTTTGCTTCTGATTCCTGGCCCACATTACAGAACAATGGGGCCAACTATTAAGGCGGATTGTGAAAGGTGTCCTGATCTGTAGCAGGTCCTAAATGATTATCTTCCCAGACTGACATCATGCATGAAAGTCTGTTAACCAAGAATGAAAAAAACATTTTATACTTACCAACATTGCAAAAAAACAAATACAACATAGTGTCTTTCACTGTTAAACAGTTAAATGCACACATAACCAGCACTGGAATCTGTTCCTTGTTTGTTTTGAAGTCATGTTTGTTTAGGTTTGAAATTCTGAGCGATCTCTGCTTCTGGGTTGGTGTTGTGCTTTGTCGATGGAAGGATGACAAAAACATCAGTGCAATCTGTCATCGTGTGCCAGATCTCTCAAATCTACAACATCTGTTTGAATTTTAAAACTGCTGTAGTCTGGATCAGGCATTAGTGAGTCACCACAATATTTAAGACCAGCCCAAAACTGGGCCTCTATCAAACTGTATCTAAATGCAGTGCAGCTATTTAGCACAGCCTGTAATTCTGAGACTCTATTTCAGCACCACTGGTGTGGACAGCTCCCACTAACATTTCATGCACTGAAGATTTCCGCACTAAGGATGCCGGACAGCTCCCTGAGGCCTGAGTAGTGCTATGGATCAAATAACCCAACAAAACCGAGCAATAAAAACCAAACACTTTCACTTTCCAAATGCCAACAGATGGGGACAACGATTAAGTCCCCAGTTGAGTTAATTCATTATTTCAAGCCAAAGCCACTGTCCACTTTGTTAGAGACACCTACTTCCACTCACTGACCACCTTATGAGCTCAACATACATTATACATCCACAGTCCAGTAACCCAGGAAAGGCCAGAAACATTCCATCAGCTTAATGTGTATAAGCAGTCAATGCTGGCAATGGGCTCCAACTCAAGATATCAAGAAAAGTCAGATGTTGACCCGTCACAAATTGATAAGTTTTCTTTGACTCCTGATTATGTGTTATTGCCCAAAATAACACCCAGACATTTATAACGACCTTGTAAATATCGCATCAGCCTAAATATGGCAGAAGCTAAAAGCATGCAAATCGATAGAATCATATAGTCATTTGGTCTGTTGAGGGTCAGTGGTATTCTGTCTTTTGGACCAGTAACTACGCCATCAAACATCGCTGTTATAGCAAAAGTGAGTCATAGCTACCTCTTTCCCCTCATGACACCATGCTAATGTTGTGTCATTTTCTCAACCGCATTCAATGTCTAGCTAAAGCATAAGACCTCTAGACGTAAACAGGTTGCATAGGTCAATTATCAATCAGTGTGAAGTGTGAGCAATTTGCACCGCTCGAAAATGATTAGAACTACTGACTTCATCCTTCACCTTTAACACTCAACCTGTGACAGACTGATTAGAGCAGACTTTGGTAACATTATGAAGAGATACATGAAAGTTTCTTCTATTTATTCTTGCGATTTAAAGATTTCTCCTTCACTGACTCAGCGCTTCAGCCTCTTTCCCCTCATGACATCAAGCTGCTGGGATGCTATAAAAGCTTGAACTTTTTGGGACTACAGCCATGAACCCTGCAGCATGGTACACTCTCAGAAATAAAGGTAGTAAACTGTCACTGGGGCCGTACCCCTCATGTCACTGGGGTGGGACCCTCAAGGGTCCATCTCAGTACCTTTAGTCAGGGAACATAATTGTACCATAATCCATTGAAATTATATTTTTTTAAGTTGTATTGGCTCCACACACCCCATCTCATCTCCAGGACTTTTATTTTACTGTTCTGTTTTAAAACATTAGATTATGAAAAGATACAAATACAAACTTTTCACCTGGATAAACTTATTTAAGGTACCCAACTGGACCTTAAAACCACTGTTGTACCTTTGAGGGAACATTTACATTGTTTGTACCTTAATGAATGAAAAATGTACCTTTATTTCCAACAGTGTATGGCTGTATTTTATCTGCCAGGAGACTATTGGGACAGGCTAGGCATCATAACAATAGAAGAACCCTTTTTGGTGCTATACAGAACCCTTTTCAAAAGGTTTCTGTATAGAATTATCTAAATCAGTTAGAAGAACACTTTCATGATGTTCATGCTACTGTATAGAACCATTTCATTTCCTAATGAACCCCTGAAGAACCTTGAATATGTATAATATATTTAAAGCCTTAATGTTACATTCAGTAACTGTGGTGAAATCACTGTAATGCACAGCCATGAATGTCCTACAGCTTTATTCAGATTCTGATGCAATCAGACATCACTTGTATCAAAGTATCTCCAAACCTGAGCCAGTTTCAGTTTTGCCCTTCTCTGTTGGTCTGTTGAAAGTTGCGCTTGGCTTTTTGGGAGAGCTATTTTTATTCGTGCTTAAGTCAGCACCTTTACTTGGGGATATTTTTTGACTGCTCTGCCCGCTGCCTCTCGCTCTCCTCTCCTCCTGTAGAAATTCTTTGTTTCTGATGAAATCCGCTTTTTCTTCAGCTTCGTTTAGTCTCTCCTGCATTTATCTCCATGTGTTAGAATCTATGTGTAGCTTCCGCTTCAAACGCAAAGTCGCAGTGTTGGAAATCTCTCCCGGGGCAACGTGTTAGCGCTAATGGCCGCAACGACCTCGAATCCGCCTCCATTTCCATGTAATGAATCGGTTGGGCTGGGCTGAATTGAACGATCAGCTGTGCATGAGAGATTGATAGATGAAGTCATTTAATTCCTTCCTGTGCGTGGCAGGGAGATCTCGCTCGAATGAGCAGTTCATTAATGTGCGTATAGATTGTTAATGTTTCCAAAGCTTTGTTTTGTGTGTGTGGTGGGCAGGACATTCTTGGGAAATACTGTAAAGTGTTTGCATACATTTATTGGCCACTTTAAGAGAAACACCTGCCTCGTAGCTCCACCTTAGTAGAGTTAGGGACTGTAGCTCATCAGTTGATGCTCAGTTTCTACACTCACTGTCCATTTTTTCAGCTCCACTGACCATATAGCAGCACTTTGTAGTTCTACAGTTACAGACTGTAGTCCATCTGTTTCTCTGCATACTTTGTTACCCTGTTCATCAATGGTTAGGACTCCCATGGACCCTCACAGAGCAGGCGTTACTTGAGTGGTGAATCATTCTTCGCACTGCAGTGAAACTGACATGGTGGTGGTGTGTTAGTATGTGTTGCGCTGGTCTGAGTGGATCAGACACAGCAGTGCTGTTGAAGTTTTTAAACACTCACTGTCCACTCTTACCTTGTTGGTCCACCTTGTCACACCTTGTTATGGCACAGTTTGTATTGGTCATCCTCTAGTCCTTCATTAGTGGTCACAGGATGCTTTCGGCTGGATATTTTTGGTTGATGGACTATTCTCAGTCCAGCAGCAACAATGAGGTGTTTAAAATCTCCAGTAGCACAGAATGTATATGTGTTTGTAATTGTGTTTACTAATAACGGACCTGCTGTTTTGATCAGTTGGTGGAGCCACTAACACCCAGTGGGACAGCACCCAATCAGGCTCAGCTACGAATACTGAAGGAAACGGAACTAAAGAGGGTGAAGATCCTGGGCACTGGAGCCTTCGGAACTGTCTATAAGGTAAAAACAGCCAGAAATGTGTTTTTGCTCTAAGTGTAACCATAAGTGTACAGTAAAGGCCCTTGTTTTTTACATGGTTCTTACTTGTTATATGTGATCTCTCAGGGTATTTGGGTTCCAGAGGGAGAGAGTGTGAAGATTCCTGTGGCCATAAAGATCCTCAATGAAACTACAGGACCAAAAGCCAACGTGGAGTTTATGGATGTGAGTGGAAGGGGAATTCTGCCAGTAATTTTCAATATCACTGCATAATTCAGTGTTTGAGATGTAAACAGAGTGATTCAGAGTGGTTTGGGGTGAAATGGTTCAGATGTCTTTACGGTGGTGGTGATAGGAACCAGGGGTTGCCATGACTACAACACAAATATAGACATTTTATTTACCATCCAAAACCACCAGCGAACCTACACGAGTCTTCTGAGTTTTGTATGGAATGTTGATGATGGTAAAATAGTGGTAAGTGTAAAGTATGGTTTCCTTAGGGTCTATTTTGCCTCACACTGCCCTTCATGTATCCCTCTGCCGTGAATGTATTTTAAGAAACAAATTTTAGGCCAAAATTTAGTCTCAAAACTGTTGGAAAACAATGTCTAAGGCAGTAAACAGCACATTCATAACCAATTCATGGCTACTAACCTTGCGTCATTGTTGTATAAATGCTGCCTGCATGTTCTAGACACTTTGAGTGGTGAAGGAAGTGAAGGTTGGCTTAATAGAAAAGTGTCATCTTGTGCCCTCTCTTCATGGAAGGCTGGGAGACGGTGTCTTTTAAACAGAGATCACTACTCTGCCTCATGTGCTGAGGGACTGAATGGAGGAGGGAGATGTCCTCAGTATGATGAAAGCGGACATTTTGGAACATTTGGTGGTTCTTCACAAGTGCGGTTTTTATAGCTGTGGTTTTTATTTGTAAAAGTTAATGAGGTCAAAGCTGATCTCCTGGATGCTAAGCGTTAAGGTTAAGATTGGGTTTGATCCTTTTTAGATTTCCAGATTCAAGGCAGCAGATTTCCAACATTTACAACATTCCATACCATTCTGTAAACATTAGACAGCTAACATTAGCATATCTTTATGGGTGACTTGTCATAAGATCTTTGGCTTTGTAGATCTTCGGCTTCTTTCCTTAATAGCAAGTCTGGCAAGATTCCCATTTTTTGGATTTTTACACAATTTAATCTTTGCCAGTTCCACCAATGCCAATCCCAGAATGCTAGCAAGCTAGGAGGGTGAAGTCTAGCATATTGCTTCCTCCAAGACATGTGAAGGGCCACCACATCTTTTCAAACTGCTGCTAAAGCAACGTCATCAGACATCTCAACTCTCTAATTCTGTCATATTGGCTAGCATCACACTGAATGGTGGGGGAAGAGGGACGCCATCCTAGAGTGGGAGGTCAGTTATGCTGTTGTGGACCCAAGCTACAGATGGCTGGGGCATCACTGGTAATCAAACTTGTGATCTCTCAATGATCAGGCCAGTTTATTCCTTCTGTGTGTATGTTTACGCATCATCATGCTCTACATGCGAATCTCATGCACAGATGTGGTTTAGCATTAGTATCTTTCAAGGGGGTATTTAGCTTTACACACATCAAAACAAAGTGCAGATGTCCAGAGTCCATAGTTTGTTTACATGTTGACTGGGCTCACAGGCCAGTGTAGACAACCTAAAGGATTTGCAACATAATGTGATACTACATTTGACCACTAGCTTGCCATTAGGACAAAGTGTTACATAGAAACATGTCCAGCTAAGTAGAGTTCTGTTATCCAGGTTTGGGTTCCGGCTGATTTTTCATGGACAACACTGAATTTGATTCAGGCTCAGCCCTGTTTTCTAATGAGTGATTTTGTGCACTCTCCTCCATTTTCCCTCTTGTGCTCTCTCTTCTCTCTCTCATAATGTTAGCTGTATTTGGAATAGAGGTCCACACAAGCTTGAAATTAAAGCCAGAACCTGACCTTTACCCACAACTTTGAAGCCCGACCCGAACAGGCCAGGCAGATACTGCTAAATCTGAGACCCAAAAGTTGGCTTCTTATTTGACAGCGTCTTATTCGGAATTTCCATTCCACCTTAAATAGTGAAGCAGTTACATTGTGGGAGTGCTTTTTAAGGTAGAATGGAACGTTTGAACATTAAGCTGACTTTAGCTTCGAGACATTAACAGAGGTGGATTATTGCAAACACAGTTTCACAGTGCTTTGCTTTGTTACTAAGTACTTGGGTTGCTGGGATTTTACACGACTGTAATATATTATCAGAATACAGCAATGAAGTCCCTGTAGTTACTGAATAAACTGGATAATAAGACATGTAATAAGCCTCAGATTTTAAGGGGTTAAGAAGTTCCTCTACTCACTACTGCCACTATAGGGCTTGGGTCAGGTAGCAGACCTCTAGTTCGGAATGGCTCTGGAGTTTTAGGAATCGATGAGGAAAAGGATGTTTTGGGTTGGTGCTCACAGTGTACCTTTCCTCTTCCTTATTAAGTTTGCCCAGTGTGCATTTCTGCAGGAGCAGCAGTAGCGTCAGGAACTTCGTAGCAGCAGGGCTATCAGTTGATCAGATGTTCTCTGTCAGATACTATCAGCAAGTCCACAAAAATGTAGTGGTATTGAATACTGTTTATATTGTACTGTAGATATGTAAAATACCCAGCATGAAATGTCCTGTCACTCTTAGTAAGTGCTTAGTAGCAAAGCAAAGCACAGTGATATTATCTGTGATAATCCTTCTCTGTTTGTGCGAGCAGATACGGGCCAGGATTGGGTTTCAAATTTAGCAGTACTGGTCAGGCCTGGTCAGGCCAGGTCTCAAACCCATAAACTCAAAAACTCACGGGTTCTGGTCAGGTTTGGGCTTTAGTTTCATGCCCTGTGCGGACATCTACAGCTAAGGTCATTGGTTAAAAGTCTGTACGTAAGTGGTTATTTAACATTTGCCTTCACTTTTGCCCACATATGCTGATATTCCTAAGAAAAGCTGGTTTATATTAAATAGACATGCAGTATATTTAAGTGCTGTGTGTTTGGTATTTATGTGTTAGCGCGTCTTCTCTGGGACACATCTCTCCTCTACTGAATGTGTGCACACTCATTCACACACAGATACATGTTGGGGTCAGTCTCGCTAATGGGGGTCACCTCTACTGAGCAGCAAGGGAACACCAAACACTCTCTCTCTCTCTTTCTTTTCTTTATCTCTCTCCCTCTTTCTCTCTCTTCCCCCCCCTCCAGGGCTTCACAGCTAATGTTTTCTCTGGGATGCGAGCATTTTGTAACCCCCACCGCGGGCCTCCTCACTCATCTTGCTCGGAGCACTAAAAGCTCCTTTGTTCTTTGGCCACTATTTTCCTTGAAGGGCATCTCTGCTCTCATTCTGCTCTCTTTGTTTTTTGTTTCATATTAATGTGCAACCTTTTCCATCAATTTGGGTTTAAACTCAAACATCCCCTATTTTAAAGAGTACTCAGCCCTAAAACATTTTCAAAAGGCATTTTCAGAACACTTCCATTTCTTCCGGTTGCTAAGATACATTCATAAATAATTTTGTTGGAACAGTACTATTCAGGCAACATCATTGATTTTATCCTACCCTTGAGTTCTCTTGAACAATAACCTTTGTTGTGTTAAGACAGGGGTCTTCAAAACGGGCTTTAGTTCCCCCAGATCAGGGGCGCCCAATCCTGGTCCTGGACATCTACCACTCTGCTAAGCCTCAACCCTGATCTAACACATCTGATCCAGGTAATGAAGGCCTTTAGGGGCATTACAGCCATGTGTTTTTGACCTGAACTCTGTGGTGGGTTTCCAGGACCGAGATTGGGCACCCCTTCCCCAGATAGTCTATGTTTTAGCTCCAACTTAACCCCACAGTGCAAAGGGATGGCGCAAAAATGTGGATCATCAGGGAGCCTTGAGGACTGGTTTTGACAACCTCTGTGTTAAGGCCTTGACCTGCATTCCTCCAACTCTCCACCAGGAGGCACTGATCATGGCCAGCATGGAGCATCCCCACCTGGTGCGTCTGCTGGGAGTGTGCCTGAGCCCTACTATCCAGCTGGTGACCCAGCTCATGCCCCACGGCTGCCTGCTGGACTACGTTCACGAACACAAAGACAACATCGGCTCCCAGCTGCTGCTCAACTGGTGTGTGCAGATCGCAAAGGTAAGAGCGTCCCTGTTTATATGTGGTTTGATTTGAGTCGTAAATTGTGTGTTCTGGTTATAGTTGCACAGTATATGGATGTTAATTGTTAATTGCTGTATTTTGGCATTCACAATAAGGCAATACAGAATTATCACCATGCACAAATGAGCCTCTAGCTAATCACTAAATATTTTATTGTGTGCTGTGAGTCATTTACAGAGAGACTGGGCAAATCCACAGCCAAGGTGGTAAAACAGGGAGACAATTATCCACAGCCATTATCCTATATTCATACATATGTGCCTATAAAAAGTATTCACCCCTTTGGAGGTTTTAATATTTTATTATCACAGAACATTGAATCGCAGTGGATTTAATTTGCTTTTTGGAAACATTCATTCAAGGTCACAAATTAAGGACTAATTTTGTTGGTAATAAGTCACTAACTGCTCTTTAATTATACATTAATTAAGTGTTTGTTAAGCATTAGTTATTACTTAGTTACTGATTGTGTATTTAGGAGTTAGTAATTGAGTAAACTATTTACAGATAGGTTAGTTACCAGCAAATCTAAAACATATCCACCCCATCAAGTCAGTATTTAGTAGACGCACCCTTGGCAGCAGTCACAGTCCCTGCTGTGGAAAAGCATCACCACAGCTTGATGCTACCACCACCATGCTCCACTGCGGGGATGGTGTTTTTATGATAATGTGTGGTAGTGTCTAGTCTGCTGGCCAAATTTTAGTTTCTTTGAGCTAAATAAACTTTTTCTAGAGTATTCCACATCTTCTGGGAAACTGTAGCCAGGGGACATGTAAGTTTTATTTAATGATACTGACTCACCAAATGTTGGATCTTCCACAGTTGTGGAAAGTTAGGGATTCTACAATCACTTAGAGCCCCGTAATTGCTCACAGGTGTTCTCCATTTAACTAATTATATGACTTTTAACACACCTTGGCTACACCAGTGATGATTTAGGAGAGTCATATGAAAGGGGTTAAATACTTATGCAATTCGTAGGAATAACTAGAAACAATGCACAAATGCTAGGAGGCAAGGAATAGAAAGAATTTACTCAAGAATCTGCAAAACCAATGGCCATATATACAGATAAAACTTGACAGGTGAAAACAATAAGGTAAGGTCAGAATAGGGCAGAGCTGGAATTTTCCACATAGATAACAGAATCCCTTTAATGAAACTTCTCTGACAGCAAGCTTCATTTTGGATGTGCACCCTGTGCGACATCAAGGGTATTTAATTTGTTTTTTCACTACCACGCAAAATGTTATATCTGGCAAAACAATTACAAAACGAAATTTTGTCAATATGATCCAGCTGTAGCTCTGATATTGGTCATCATTCCAATAGTCCAGTGAAATTATTCAGGCTCTTGAGCTTGAATCATATCTCAGAGGCCGTATTTCCAACTTTTTCTTCACTTTTCCTCTATTTTCAGATGTACTTACCTTGTTTTCCAAAACCACTTCTCACTACATTGTCTGGGAAATGAATGCCAAGGCAGGCTCTTGTTGAAATGTGTTTGTCCCCCCTGCATTGTTCCCTCGGCTTTATTTTGCCTTCTTCCACCAGCACACCACATGTACACTCTAAAAGCTTTTTGGTGGGGCTCTGGGATCCGTAAGCATCAAAGAGACGCCCCCATTGTCCTCCCACAGAAAGACCCCAAGTGGCACAAAAGCCGCTCCCTAATGGTCCTTCAATCAAGGGCCACAATCGCAAACAGCTGGAGGAAAGCTGGTGCAGCCAGCATGCATTGTTTACTGGCTTGACAATCTCGCTCCTGGCGAGCTTCGGCGGCCGAGGACCACTCCCTCAAACAGTCCGTTATGGGAACCTGCTGAGTCCTCCCAGCAAGTTCCAGCTCTTCCCTGTCCTGCCTTCAGTCTTCTCAGGCTTCCGCGACATGGAGCCTGCTTTTACCGCAAGGTTGCGGCCTCCCCCGCACGAGGCAGGGTTCGCAGAGGCCGGGCACTGCCTCGCCTTGGATTTCCAAAGCTCTTGCTATATCACGCGCCAGCTCCAAGAACATGCCCACGAAACTCCTGGGGAAATTAGGGACTGGCAGAGAGAGCGAGGGCTATGGAGGACACCTTCATCAGTGGTCGTTTTCCAATTCGGCTTGACACGCCGTTGTTGTCATGCAGAGGTGCCTTGTTTACAACTACTGAGAGGGAACATGCTCAAAGGGAAAGTCTGACAATTGTGGGGTGTTTTTTTTTTTTGTACATTTATTGCGCCACAAGCAATGCTGTGTATCACCTCTAAGGTTAGCTCTAGAGGCAGGCTTGCCAGGTCTAATATTGTCCTGGTTTGTTGAAAGTGTGGTGTACTATGCACAGATGAGCATGGTGAAGATATATACAGGCTTATGTATTTGCAACACTTAAGGCTGAATCAGGTCTTAATTAGAAACTTCTCACCCACTATATTCCTATTTCTAGCTATTTAACATCCTGTATGTGTTTGACACTGTCAGTAGATCCTCCAGACACTAAAATGACTTTGCCATCATCACTGGTTTTGCTCCTGGATCTTTCCACTGCATGATCCCAGTGGCTCAGTTCAATCTTCCTTGTAAACTGGTCATACTGTTTCACAAACGCATTAGCTAGTGCAGCACAGAAGTGCAGGCCTGATTCCTCTCAGTGTTTCTTCCTCATGATCTTAGACTTTTTTCTAAACAAAGTTGCATCTAATAAAACACTATTAGATTAAGTGACCCTTATTAGTCCCACAACGGGGAAATTTGACCTCCGCATTTGACCCATCTGTGCGGTGAAACACCACATACACACTAGTGAACACACACTTTTCTTACGTTACAGACGTATGGTATGTAATTGGGCCTGCCAGCAGGGCCTGGCCATTTAAGGCATTGATGTAAATTTCAATAGAGGTCATGTATCAGCAAGGTAGCTACTTCAGCTGGCCGGACACATCAGTGGACTTTGACTTGATGACAGATAAAAGTCTCACAGTAAGAACAGTGATGGAATAAAGTCCAAACTCAAATTGGGCACAGCAGCAAATGGACTACAGTCCCTAAGTATACAACAGCAAAGTGGACCAACCTCAAGAGGACAGTGAGTGAACAGAGATCATGGCTTTATGAGTGATCCTTGGCGTCCATCAGATATCCTTCTTTTTAGGTCAGAGGAGTGGTAGAGCTCTCCTGGAACTCAAAAGCATCGTGATTAGGACTGGATAGCTGATCCTCTCGGGGTGGCGGTGAAAGTAAGAGGCCTAAGAAAAGACTGAAAACCACAAACTTGTTTTCTTTCCTTTCCCCTCTGGCTGTATGTGTGTGTGTTTCAGTGGATGGATGATGGATGCACACAAGGGAAGGTGTCTTGTGCAATAGTCAGCTAATGAGACGTTTACTTGTAGGTGGACAAAAACAAAGAATGTCTTGTCCCCAAGCACATTTGATAAAATAAGACTCAAAAAAGTTTTTTTTAAAAACAAACCTAATACACTAGACTGTATTACCTAATAATACCTATCCAGGACTGCATGCAGGGTTATCATGATACCAGGATTTTGATATCGATACTGATACCAGGTGTGGTATCACAATGCTAGATACCAAATGATACCTTGACCGAAAATGAAAAAAAAAAAAAAACACTTGTCTCTCTGTGTCACTCTGGCCAAAATAGAGTGAAATTGTCAGGTTTAAAGACCTGAAATTATCCCTTCTGATGGTGGGAGTTACGAAGTGCTAGCTACCAAAATCAGATAGCTGATGTCACTGCTAGGAAGGTAAATGTCTTATTGCAGCCATATAAATGTGGTGACTGAAGTGACTCATAGGATGATGAGGACAACAGCAAAAAACTAAAGTTAGCAAGTTAGCTACCTGAGTATGTAGATTTCTAACCTCAGTTTGGCTTCTTGTATCTGGCTGAAAGTTTAAAAAATATCTCTGGCATCCATTTTTTACTGCATAAAGAAAGAATCAATGGCCGAGGTTAGAGTTATACTAATGCTAGTTTGATTGTATTTATAAGCCCATAGATCAGTGATTACAGCATTTCCAATGTCCGTAGGATGTATTTACACAGTAAATGTTGGGTATTGTAGTTAGAAAACACTGATAAACAAAAACTTGTGTCAGATTGCCATTTAGTACTGAAAACGCTCTTCGTACTTTGTACTGTCATTTTATATCATCCAGACTTTGAGCTGTTTCTAATTTCGCTGTTGTTGGAACAAAACCTCGTATCTCCAAAATGATAACTTTACAGGAAAAGGGAAAAACCTACTTTACTTTTAGTTTAAGGCAATGGAACCAGACATTTTTCCAAGTCATTTTGGGTCATTTCTTTTGGTCCATTCATCATGAAATTTACAAACAATGTAAAGGGCAAAAGGTATTTTTAAGTTATGTCAAAAACTGAAAAACGTCAAAAATGGAGATACGAGGTTTTGTTCCGACAACAGTGATTTGCTTTCCTACTTAAACGTGTGACATTACATTGAGATTTAGTGAGTATTTTTGTACATACCATTTGTTGCTTGATATTTTATCAATTTAATAGCTAGAACCTTGTTTGTAGTTTAGTCAGACTTGTAATTGGTACTTAGTGCTCTCTATAATTTTACCCAAAATAGCTACCGGAGTACTTTGTACCACATATTTACCCAGTTATTACCTAGAACCTATTGGGTATTCTGGTGTAATTTAGTTTAACCATATTTGGACTTACTTTAATGTTACCAAAAATAAGTATCTAGTACTATGGACTTTGTATCTCAAAGTTACCTAGTTAGTACATAGAACTTAAGGGACGGTAAAAGAAAGTGTTACCCTTCCTATCAAATCCAAGACAGTGGGACAAGTCGATTGAACTAAGCTTCCGTTTTTGTTTCATTGATTTTAATTTGTACGTTGTGGCAAATCACAAAGCACACCCTGGAGATTCTTGCTGTCTGTCATCACGTGCCGCTGATCATGGGGTACGTCTTTCGTTAGCCTGCTCTTTGGC